TTGAGCTTCAGCTTATGTATGAATTCAGGTTGTATAAAAGTGCTGAGTAGAGACTTAGTGTGACGCCCGCTCTCCTCCACTCACAGAACGAGGCGGCGTCCTTTAGCCTCTACAGCGCTGCTATAAACAGTAGCATCCATCCATCCATTTTCTACCCTTTAATCCATTTCTGGGTCAGGGGGGTGGCAGTCAGAGATGCCACCCAAGTCTCATAGCACCAGCCCCTCACTGACCCTCTGCAGGTGGTGAGTCCACAGGAGGACGGCTGCTCTCTGAGTGTGAGCATAGCCTTGATTTTTCAGTGGGGGCTTTGGGCAAAGTGGGGTTATGTGTCTTGCCCAAGGACACAACGACAGCAGTCATCAGTGGGAGTCGGTGGAGAAGGTGTCGAGGTGGGAACAGTAGCATGTTAGCAGAATTGGCTATAACTCCTCTTACTGTAACTACAGACACAGCAAAACAGCCCAAACGACACAACAGTGACCAAGAGAAGAGGGAACTAAAGCAAAAAAATTATCAAAAAAGAAATCAAGCCCAGGTGAACATAGCTAGCTTATATCTTATCCTCTGGAGAGACTTGTCTATGGGAGAGACCTGCGGGACTGCCTCGGACTATCTATGCTCGGACCACATTTGTACACGGAACTAGCAGTAATCTTTCAGTTATATATTTTGTTAGCAGTGCGTTGCATTTGTACCATTTCATCAGTGATTGTTGTACAGGTTACAAGAAGTTGCGCTCAAGCTAATGTTAGCATATGTATCAGATTGCAAATACAACCAGATGGCTCCGTGTTATGAGAGCGTAGGGGAAATGAGAAGCCCGTGAGCGAGTTGAGGGCGGTGCTAAACATTCAAACCTTGCAGAAACGGGTATAGCTCCTTTAAGCCTTTGGAATGTTCAAATTGACACATGTAGGTAATACTTTGATGTACTTCAAAGATCAATCCTCAACAGATTTTTTTCCCCCCCTGTATTCTTTAGTAAACATTTCCTGAGGGCAATTATGTTGAGAATGCCGCTCTTGATCAACTTGAGACTACAGTAGCATTCTGAAACTGATTATTGAGAAATAGGCTTTTTTCTGCTAATGAGAAAGCCTTTGTCAGCTTACACCGGCTGCAAAATGTGAAAAGTACTTGGCAAGGATCGTTATGAAAGAAATGTGTTCAAAAGTAAGATTAATATTGGAATGTTGCAAGTTGCCTGGAATTTTCCATTACACTGGGTTAATTACTGTATGTCCGTGGAAAGTTGAATCTTCTAAATCTCTTTCAAGCACTAAAATCATCCACATTACAAGCAACAAACAATTTATACATTGTTTGCAACAGTTATAATTGCATTGCTAAATTAAGCCTGGTGATATTAAATGTGCTCTTTAGCTTTTAGCTCTAGCTCTTTTCTTTTTTTATCTGTTTGTTTTAAAAGCCTTTGTTGAGCATATTGAGTCGCAGTCCTGTATGAAAAGTGCTATGTAAATACAGCATAGTCTTTGTCTAAATGACAGAATACATGCTTAAATTATTATTATTTTTACTCTCAATTGATTATGTTTTCATTGTCTGCCAATGATGGACACACGTCTAGTCTTATTTTGAGATAGTCATTTTTTTTTTTGTATAGATATGTGAGAAATTTAATTGCTAAGGTCACATTACAAGGCAGGACATTCACGACTGCACAACAAATTCCCACAAAGTCCTAACCTTAAACACATCTCTCCTCCGCTTTTTGTCCATAATCCGGTTTTAGTCCATAATTCCCCATACCCCACCCACCCCACCCTCTCTCACGGTCCAGGGCAGAGTGGGCGGGCCAGGTTCAGGTCCGATCGGAGCTCATTACGTGGTCCTGCTGAGACGGAGCCAACAAGCGCCAGCCGACCTTTGCCAAGCCTTCTCCAACAGAGTGGAAGATAATGGACGATGCGCTGCTCTGTCCCCAACACCCCTGTCCCTCCCCTACGGTCCACCAATGTTAAGGAGTTCATTTGTTTTAGAAAGCAGCTAGTTTAATGGGCTTTCTTAAGGCAAAGGTTGGGTTATAGTGCAATGCAAGGATTTTTACTGGTCTCGAGCAAATTGCGTAGTACAGTATAATATAATAGTTTAAAATGTATGCCACTAATATCTGCACAGTCTTATTTCAATAACCAACGTCTGTCTCTAGACTCTAAAAGGAAATATTTAGTCAAAGAGCTGCAGAAAGAGCTGTAAAATGTACAGTCACTGAGTTGTGCATAACAGAACATTTGGGGTCTTACGTCTACTGTAACAACAGATAGATAAGCACTATAGATAATAAACTAACAATAAGTAGAGATGCGATACACTTGGGTCTAATCCAGGTCCGTTGTGAGACAGGTTAGTTTTACCCTACTGATGATGAGTTGTTCCAATAGTAATCCTAATCCTAATGTAATTCAATTCTTCAGATTGTGACTTAGATAATGCCGTTATACTCTAAGGCTGATCAAATATGGCCCCTGACTTAACAATAGTTTTGATCTATTAGAATCACGCTGATATTCACTTGTGTTCAATTCTCACTCACCAACTCCAATCTCTTTCTGTTAACCTGAGATGGCGATGAGAGGAGGCTTACACCCCATTGCGTGCATTATTTGAGTTGAAAACTGGGTCAATGCTGCTTTCCATCCAATCGTAGAACACATTTCCTTTTTAACAAGTGCACGTCCTGCAGTGTTCTCCTCGGTCTGTTGGCATGCCTTTCTCCTGATTAGAGGAACACTGTGGGAACAAAGCACGCTCAGGATCAAGTGAGAGTCTGTGCCTGTGTCTTCAAAGTCTTCTTCGCTCTGATGGAGATCCACAGTCGATCTAATGATGTTCACCCACAACCTGGAGTGCTTCTCTCACCGTTAACATGTGTCAGGGGCTTTGGCTTTTACGCAGGGATTCATTGTTTTCCATGTCTCCATCCAAATATCATTGCTTTTCACAAAGTAAGTAGTACAATTACAGAAGATTAATTTTTTCATCAGATTTTGAATTTTTTTTAGCTAGAATTTTTCCATTTGACATTTTTAACCCTGAAAAAGCACGTTTGAATATTTTTATCTTTGCATTTCAGTCACTAAAAATTCAGTTTACAAATGTCATTGTGATTAAAATTTCAAAATGAACCTTCAAAATATTATTTTTTTCAATGAAAAAAAAACGGATTATTTGTTCCATCAGAAATTTAATTTTAAATGGACCTGAATTCATCTATTTGAATGTTTTTAACATCTTGAATATTTTTTTCTGTGAATTTCAGTCACTGAAATTTCAGTCCGCTCTGCAAAGAGGACCGTGGGCTGTGAGCTTCCTGTTCTGGAGGTTCTTTATAAATCCAGACTTTTAAACAAAGCTCTTAGGATTGTTAATGACTCTTCTGGCCACCCTGGGAAAGCCATGTTCCAGCTTCTTCCCTCTGGCAGAAGATATCGCTCTCTGAGATGCAGGACATCTCGTTACGCTAACAGTTTTTATCCACAAGCTGTTTTAGTCGATCGATTTCACAGTGACATTTGTTTACTGTTTTATTTGCTTTTATTTTTGTCTTTTAATGTTGTTTTATGTCTGTATATGTCTGTGCACACTGGTGACTTTTTGCTAATGTATTCCTATGTGTTTTTTTTACTGCAAATGGCAAATAAACTGAATCTGACTGAAACATTTTTTTTGAATATTTTGATGGTGAATATGTCATTTTGAAATTTTAATCACATTTAATTTGTATACTGAATTTGAAGTGACTGAAATGCAAAGATAAAAATATTCAACCAGGCTTTTTCAGGGTTAAAGATTTCAAATGGAAAAATTCAAGCCGAAAAAAAATTCAAAATTTGATGACACAAAAAATCTTCCATGTACAATATATATAATAATATGAACTGCAAATGTGAAAAAGGTCTGTGTGGGTCAGAGAGAAAATGTGAGTCTCAAAGGCCAGAGGTCATAGGTTCAAGCCCACCATGAAACCTTCTCCACTCCCAATGATGTCTGCTGTTGTTGTGTCCTTGAGCAAGACACTTAATCCCACTCTGCCTGAAGCCCCCGCTGAAAGACCAAGGCTATGTCATAGAGCTGCCATCGTCGTCTGTATACTGGATGGCATCTCTGGCCATCCCCTCAACTCAGAAATGGATTAAAGATGCAGTAAGCGATTTCGTTAGCTCGAAAACCACTCCCCCTCCCCTCGCCTCTTCACCAAACCAAACATCCAGCATTTTCTTTTGTTTGTCACAACAGGGAGAGTAGGTGGAAAATGTGAAATTGGCATTTTCTGTTCAGCCCTTTTAGGTTTTTAGAAAATCCGATAACTCACTTGCAAGAAACAGGAAGAGGGTGAAGGAGGAAAACATATCCCATTGGTTCGTTGGGGATGAACGCATCTCATTGGTTTATTTTTATCGGTCTGCTCCAAAAGATTTTTAATTAATTTTTGGAGACTATAGGCATCTGGTCAATTCCATTACTATTTGAAAACACAGGATAACTTGACTACTTTTTGGGTTTAGGGACGTTTTCCCACACAATTTAAAAAAAAAAGTTTTCTACGGATGTTCCGGATTCCAAATATCATGCTTTAGTAATTTATTGCACTTGGGGGTGGGGGTTCATAAGCTTTTTGCTTCAGCCCACTCCTTTTGAGCACAATGTGTATTGCTCAAATAAACAAATAAACTAAACTAAACTAATAATATCAATGTACTAATACAGTGAAAAGATAGATTTTTCTCCTGCTAAAGTTAATGGTGCTCACGGTTTCTTTTGGAGGGTTCCACAATGTTGAGTGTTTTTTTTGCACCTTTTTGATACCTATTTGTTTTAATTTCAGGACATTTTTGACACATTGTTGTCCATGTCTTGAGAGTATGTATTACAAATAAATATAATGTTGTAGAATCTATCAGAAGACCAAATGAACCTCAATGGACTAGGGTTCTTTTTGTCAATCAATCTTCAACTTGATCTTCTCTCCTTGACAGATCCCGACACGGAGCTTGTTGCCCCGGTGATCGTGGTGGCGCCCAAAGACACGACAGCAGTAGCGGGGCGGGTGGTGACGCTGGAGTGCATCGCCAATGCCAGGTATGCCCCATGCATCAAAGCAAGTGCTCCTGACAAACAATTACCTGCTGCACCTGCACCCATCTGCTCAAGCAATCAAACCAGCAGAGCTTCCTCCATGTCAGCACTTTGTTCGCTCACTTTACTGCCCACAACATGCTGCCTTTCTGGGGGTAGGACGTGCAAGGAGACGCCCATCTGCTCCGACAAAGGCGAAATGGAAAATGGTAATGCGTGGTGTAATGTAAATGTAAGGGTCGGTGCAGATTTCACCGTCAGCATTTTACATTGATTGGAATTGTACTTTTATCAGAGCTTGTCAACAGGAAAATCTATACGTGTGGAACAGTTGGTTATTAAAATTAGACACAAGAAGCAATTTAATGCAACCATTGCTTTCTCAGAGACTGCAGTTGTAAGGTTGCATTTATGCTATACCTGGTCTGATTGTCTTAAGATTCAGTCTAGGTTTGCTCATAGTATTGCTATTCGGGTTCTGACCCTTCATAATTAATTGTTATTTTTTAATCATCAGTATATTAAAGTTAAGATTGTTTTCCATTGACACATTTCAGCTCCTGGGATTCTAAAAGCAAAGAAATAAGAGTAGAAAAAGGTAGATGAAAGTCACTTCAAAACCAATTTATGTGTTTTGGCGTCATCCATGAATTTTCCTCCCCGCCTTGTCAAGTCGTTTGGACATAAGTGCATGAGCTTTCTAACTTTTCAAACTAAATTATTGTTTGCAAATGAGTTCTGAGCATTTAGACTTCATTACGACTATTTCATCACATCAGAACATGTCTAACTGCCTTGTGTTTTTGGTTAGAATGTGTTTTAAAACTGCCAAAACTGCTGCATATTGTTCCCTTTTAATCTCGCTGAAAGTATGTCATGTTCTAAATCTAAAACATTACATGACAAATGAAATGTTCTCATGTTCAGCTAGCACCAAAATATTTCACAGTGATGATTAATTTCGGTATTAAAAATGTTGAGAAGATAACATAAGCGTTCATTTTTGCAACAACATGGACATCCTTACCATGAATCCAAAATGTTCAAACTCAAATCTCAAACACATTTACACATATGAAACTAGATAAGCAACTGGTACCAGTTTTACCAGTGACCGTAGCCCTAACCAAGCATAGTTCAAATAAACAAATTTGATTGTGAATAATCCTTAATATAGGTAAAAATTTTAGCACTGAGTCAAAATTTTGCCTTTGTTGCCCATTGAAAATTATACACAGCACAAGATCCTACCGTTTGGGGCTATTCAAATTCAATTATAAACCATTTTGCTGATGGTAAACCAGAGAAATATCTATCTCAAAGCCTCTCTTCCGCGCTCACAGACAAATACAAGGCTTGCTTTGAGTGCCCTCTCCTCAGCTGTCACTCGGATCATCTCTTCTGGAACATCCTTCTTTTCATACCCTCAATAGTCACTCACATTCTGCACGCAGCTCTGGCAATGACCGCCACATAAAGGCCCATCCACATCAAAGCACAGAAAAAAACCAACCAGGCCTCTTCAGACTCCACTTTAAGCATCTCAGTACTTTTTTGGAAGCAGGGTTTTTCTGATTGAATGGTGCTGTGGGTTTTGACCAGCGCAGCTCAAAACATGTCACAACAAGGTCTCAACAGAATCCTAAAAAACTAAATAATAGGTTTGTTTGAATATAAAAGAAAAGAGTTGAAGTTGTGTTTGGGATGCATTCATATAACACTGGCAGCAGATATTAATGCCGAGATTAGGAATTTTTGTTCAGTCGATATCGAGAGAAGGCCTTTACAGTGGGTGCTAAATGCAACGTAAATCGGGGCCTTGCTGTTTTGCAGATTTTGTGTTTGTTTATGATTTTGGGGTCTTTTTTACTGTGTGCTTCAAAATCACAATATCATATAACCGCTAGTATAACATGACTGAAGTCAGAAGAAAACATTATTAGCTTGTGTGATTAGTTCAGAGGACTACCCCGGTCTTCCCGTAGCCCTCATTCCTGCTCCTGTCCCTCAGCGCTGTGTCCTCCGCAGCTGTATTTTAAAGCGTATGCACGGCTTTTGACAGCTGCAGCCAGGGAGGTAGCACCAAATTCTGGGCCCCGGGTACAAACAGTCTCAATGGGACCCCACTACACGTTTCTTATATATAATATATATATATATATATATATATATATATATATATATTAGTGCTGTCCAAAATATCGCGTTATTAACGCGTTAACGCAAATCAATATTAACGGCGTCATTTTTTTTATCGCCATTAATTTTTTTTATAATTATTAAAAAAAAAAAAAAAAAAAAAATTTTTTTTTTTTTTTTTTTTTTTTTTTTTACTTTTTATTGCAGACAAACACATATACAGAAAAAAATAGACACAAAGAAAAGGACTAGTTCAGATACATTGTAGACAGAGATTACAAACAATATGTAGTTGGAGATACATGGGGGCCAAAGAAGAAACCCAGAAGGGCACACTAGGGGGGGGGGACATGAAGTGGGAGATGGGGGGAGGGGTCAATAAAAAAGGCAATACAAGCAAACAGTATACAGTCATAGATATACCGAAAGTAAACAGAGAAACAGCATAGAGTATTTACATGAACAAATTTACAAAAAAATTGTTTATCATCATAATGACACCATGATGTTTCTATACAGTCTATGGTCTATACCCACACATACACACACACACCCACACACACACACACCCACACCCATAAACACACACACACACACATTGAAGGGGCTTTTTGTTACCAATTATTTATTTTGTCATCCATTTATTGATGATTTTGCATCAAATGTTAGTGTGTAATATAACACTACACATTGTTTTCAATAAAAAAAGAAATTGCACACAGCACGCAAATGGGTGACTAATTTGCGATTAATCGCGAGTTAACTATGAAATTCATGCGATTAATCGCGATTAAATATTTTAATCGTTGGACAGCACTAATATATATATATATATATATATATATATATATATATATATATAATAATTTAATTAGTTAATAAAATTCTGATTCATGACCTTTGGTTTTATTATCATCAATATTGTTGATGGCCATTAGCGGACTTGGCATACTGGAGATAATTTGGGAATGGTTTGCCCTCCATATCTTTGGGTATGGTATTGCCTGTTTTTGAACCACCATCACTGGCTAGTAGATGAACAATTCTTTTCCTTTGTTTATCGGTGAGATTCTCTGGCCATAATCCTGGGTCCTCTGACAATCCCTCATCATTATTACTCTGTCTCTTGGTGTCATCTCTTTCCTCCTCAATCCTCTCCACATTCTCATCACTTTCGCTTTCCCTTTCATCACTTAATTCAGTTTCTACATCCTCTTCTAATTCTGCCTCTGCCTCTGCTACATGGACACAATACAGACAAAAATGATATAGAATTAGTGTATACAGTAAAACTTATAAAGTAATAACTTACTAACTTATTGAAAACAGTTCAATCAGTGACTGATAAATGCTCACTATGCCTCACTGTCAAACCATCACTACTAGTGCCTTCATCTGGCCATGATGCTTCTCTTCCTGAAACTGAAATAAAGTAGCTTTAATGGGTTGCAAACAGATACTATATTCCATCATTACAGTGTATAGCTATTACGTATATGCCTGCATGCCTTTATGTGATATGTGTATATGGCTATTCATATAAAATATATAGTATATCTTATCTTATTTGTATGGACCATGAGTAGGTAAGTTACTTATTTGTTATTGTACAAACATACAACAAAATACTTTTTATGGTTCATTATTATCCACCAATTTAGACTTTGTGTTAAAATTCAATCGATGCAATCTTTTTTGAAATAAGCCTATTCCATTTTCAACAAAACACCTGTGCCTAGCCTTACTCCGCCCACATGAAAATTTGAAATGTTTCTGTAAAAATGGCACCAGTGGAGAAGAAGGGGGGCTTACAGTTGGGCATGGTCTGGGCTGTGATTGTCAGTTGTCATTTCTGGCATAAAAGCAATAGTTTACACACCAGAAAGTCTCATTTCACCCTTGTTTACACACTAAGATAATTGTAGAGCTAGAAACCTTTAGACCATTAGACTTATTTACATTATTTTGACCCTAGATGTCACCAGAAAACTCCAAATCGGTGCGGGGGCGTGTGATTTGTATGGTTATAACCAGATGATCCAATGCAGAGGCCAGTGAGTGACCCGTGACTTATGACTGCAAGACTCACGGACGGACAGATTATAGGGTACAGGGTTGTACATGAAAATAACTCTTTGCTGCCTGCCTTTGAAGGAGAAGTGGACAGCAGTGTGTGTGAGCTCCCTTTACAGCTGCGCGTCTTTGTGTGTCACTCTGGATAACGTTTTTTTTTTACCACGTACACGGCACACTGTTAGCTCTCCGTGAGTTTAGAATACAGAAACAAATGTCTCTGGGTTTTCTCCTGATGTGGCCTTAACACGTCTCTATATACTCACCTCTCGTGTGGAAGAACTGAGTAAGCAATTGCTTGCCCTCATTACACTTTTTCTCCCTGTCCTGTCTTTCTTTTCTTTTCTGAAATCCTGATTTTCCTTTCCTTGGAAAAGACATTTCTATTTTTCCCGCTTCTGCCGCTGCTTGTCAAACAAGTCAACTCAGTCTCGCTGCAGCGGCAGCAACACAGCAACAAGAGCACATGTGGGTCGTACCATTTGATCTTTTGTAAGGGGGTGGCAGGGCCCTGATATAGCATACAAATTTGTTTTTAGAGGAAAACTGAGGTTAAAACGTTGGTTATTTTTATACAGGGCCCCTTTCATTCAAATTGTAATAATATGAATATACCACAATGCCTAATACATATAAATATAAAGACACACTTTAGAGGGCCCCTCCCCGCCTTGGGCCCTAGGTACTCGGTACCCTTTACCCCCCCAGTCCGACGCCCATGGCTGCAGCAGCGCTCAGAACCTACAGCGATCGCACTTTAGCTGTAGTTAGTTTAGTTTAGTTAGTTTTTGTTTTTTTTACTTATCTAAGATGACAGGGACAGTGTACAATAAACATTAACCTCAAAGGGAAAGAGGCATTGTACCAGGTTATAGCTCAAGAGCTAATTTCCCCCTGTAGTCCATGGGCAGGCTAGTTTTATGATATTACATTAAAAATCACAAAAATAGGTGGTTAGAAAAGTGTATAACGTTGATTGAGGAATTTTCACCGCCTTTATACATATAACATATAACTGCTACTTTCGCTTCACTTATTGTTATTTTTTTAACATATTCCCTGCAATAATTGAGGGGCCACTGTATTTTTGTCTCTTAGCTAACTGATATTAGTCCACCATATCAGCAGTAGGTTATTGAGACAGTTGTTACTTACTAATGCATTTTATTTAAAGGCGTCTTTTCAAAACACTCAAGGTCTCAAAGTTATTTTTATTTTATTGAACTTTAATTAACCAGGAGAACCTCATTGAGATTAATCATCTCTTTATCAAAAGTGTCCTGGACAAGAGGCAACGCATTCAACATACATTTACAACGTAAAGACATACAAGCTAAAATGAAAGCTAAAACATTGAGACAAGAAATATTTTAAATATACAACAGTTACAATGTGCAGACTATTCATCTAAAACATTGACCCTAACCCTCTCTTAAGATTATCTCAAGAAAACACAATTACCAAAACAGAATTGGGTGGATTGTGATAAATCAGCTGATATTGAGAGTAGTCCCTTCACTTGTGTTCGTTCATATTCGGTATCTGCAGATATTGAAGACAAAGTGTTCAGGTCGTTTTATATTTAAGATGAGCCGTATTAAGATAACGTTTTTTATGGTAATTTGAGAGCTCACCGGGCGATGAAGAGGAAATCAGCCTGACACTTAACTTGTGTGTGAAAAATCAGCTTGAGTCGCTGGACATCCGTGGGTGTGAATGCTAATGCTGGAGAAAAGGCTTTGTGACAAAAGGGTCAAGTTTGATTAATATAATACCAACCTCCTCCTCTCTCTTTTCTAGGAAAGTTATAAGTAGATGAAACTTTGATGATTTTGACCTGGTTTTTCCGCTTTTTTCTTTCAATAATGAACATTTAGCATACAGCCATGGATTAATCATTAACAGCTCTATGTACAGACTCAAACACATGTATATTCTGTGGGGTGTTCATTTAAGATTCAAACAGAGACTGTCTGTAAATATTATCAGAGTTAGAATGACCTCTAGCCGCTTCACTTCACATTTCTCGGCATCAAAGTTAGATAAAAATCACATTCAATGAACAAAGTCATTGTGAGTTGCAGTCCTAAGCTGATGTCAATACATTTTAATAATGTGTCATCCAGTAGTGTCCTCCGTTTCAGACTTGGTTGAAAACATATATATTCACCTTCCACCCCATGTCACCCTCAGGCCGGGCCTTTCTGTGTGGAGTTTTCATGTTCTCCCTTTGTCAGTATAGGTGTTCTCTTGCGGCTCCAGTTTCCCCTTCCACTAAAGGTTAAACAGTTCGGTGTGAGAGAGTGTTAGTGAGGACAACAGATAAAAATAACAAAAAAACAAGCACACATCACAAATTACAGGAAATTGTATCTATTTATCTACCTGTATAAATCTATATCTCTCCATCCATCCATCCATCTTCGTGCATTACAAACTATTCCTCCTTTGATAATAAAAGTAGTAAAAAGCGGTGTGTTCTTTGCAGACCTGTGGAGAAGCTGCTGCTGTCGTGGAAGAGGGACGGGCGGAGAATAGGAGGCGGCACTCGTCTGGTCCTGACCGCTCCGGACTCTTCAGACGCGGGAATGTACATCTGTGAAGCGGCCCTTAGCAACAGCACCACGCGCCCTGTGGAGGCCCGGGCACACCTCACCGTCACAGGTGACCCAACCCACTCACTCCAACAATGAGAAGATTGTTCAAAAGTTCATTTATGTCTGTATTACAATGTAAAGTGAGAAACAAATGATCAAAACTTGTTACATGCAAAGACTCAAGTTCTTGGAAAAGAAGCATCAACATTTTCAAACATAATGACAAATTGCACCATTTCTCAGTCATGTGACAATACATTGACACACATGACAAGTATCGGGATGATTGCATTTATTATGATTACTTTTTAATGAAAAAGAATAAGTAAAAGTCAACATCAATGGTGGGCATACAATATACGTTTATGGTTGTATACCCAGCATGCACTGCTGTTGGCTTGTCTTTCTAAGTCTCTGATGAGGAAGTTACCATTGCATGTTTTTCACCTGAAAGCTATATATGAGCATACACTTTTGACAGTATGTGTATCTGACCTGTGTGAGCGGTGTCTCTATAGCGCCCCCTACCCTGGCCATGCAGCCGAAGAGCAGGACAGTTGGAGACCTGGAGAGGAACGTGGAGATCCCATGTGTGGCTACAGGTAATTACCGCTAAAAACCCACACATTAGATTTGTTGTATTTATTTGAATGTGCAGGTACACTAAAACAATGATTTCACTAGATTTAGCACCGTACAAATCTCTTTCTGTAGTTAAGATAAATAATACAAAAGTTTTCCCATTTGTAAAACCATAACTTGAGCAGCAATATACCATTATACAGTCTTTCATTTTGCATGTTTCTTTCCTGTCTAGACGATTAAACTATACCGTATTTTACACAGTGCAGCGAGAGAAAGCAAACTTAATAACAAACACCTCGCTGAGAGATGTAACGCAATAACGGAATAATTTGGGTTTGGAAATGTCAAATGGAATTTCATAGACTCCGGTATGACAGTGGTAAATAGAGAACTTTTTCTTTATCAAAGTCAAGCGGAGTGGGAGAAGACAGACAGATTAGCTCATGTTTTATTCAGAATGTTTTTGGCCCCCGCTGGTACCCGTACCCACCTACACCTCCGATCGATATATTATTAATACTCATTATGCCAGCATGCATATTTATAAGACACGCTTAATGGAGAAGAATGCGTTTTTCAAAGTGAGTGTGTGGCCGTTTTTTATTCTTTTTTTTTCGGAGAACTACAAAAAAAAAAATTTATTTGCAAATGTACATTCTCTCATTTCCTTCCCTTATTGTTAGATTATAGAAACAACTGTGGGATTTTTATCTGTGATTCTGCTATTTAGACTTGAACATAGAAGTATTTTCAGTTGTTTTTCTCTTTCAGGAGACTTGAATTTTTAACAGAAAACTAGTAAAAGCCAAAGTCTTGTATCAATAGAAATTTGTTGACACTCTTCTGAAAGACCTGGGAACAAAGGAAGGACATTCTTAGCTGTGAAGTTATCAGGCTTTTTTCTTTTGTTTGGTTTGAGTTTAGATGTGACCTCTGCCCCACAAATGAAGCTGTTTAAAGTTAACTCTTTGGACTTTACTTGAATCAAGTGTGAACAATATTTTTCTGGCTGCTCAGACCTGTGCAGTGCTATTTGCTCTGGAGAAGGGCTTGGTGCTGTGCCTGCTGATGCTTTTTTTCTAGTGTTTTACTTCTACAATTTGTATAACTGTTAACTGGACTGACCTGTCAACTTCCTATATGTTAACATGACTCTGTGCGTGTGTAGGTGTACCCCAGCCGAGGATGGAGTGGTTCAAAGACACCGTTCCCCTGTCTAAGCTGGCCAACCCGCGGTACAAGGTCACCATGGCGGCGGGGCTCACGGTGAGGAGGGTCCAGCCCGGTGACGGGGGAGTGTTCCAGTGCATCGCCCGCAACGCTGCCGGAGAGACGCAGGGCTACACACAGCTACTGGTGTCCAGTGAGCGCCACACGCAGCCTGCAGTATTCTGTTTGATGCTAGCTACTTCAAGTATTGAATTAGGGTTGAAATGATTGATACAAATGTGGAACTATTATCTGTTTCTTTACGTTATGAGTAAATGCTATTCCATATCTGTAGTAGGGTTGGGCGATATGGGCCTCAGCATGTATCACGATTTTTGTTGGTATGTATCACGATATGACGATATGATAATTTTAACAAAGCCTCATATAAAATCTATAAAAACTTAGCACTGATAATTTTAAACACACTTGCCTCAAAGTGCATTTACTGATTTATTGGCAGCAAAATGTGTAATACAGCTATTGTATATAAAACGTATTAACAAAACTGAATTGTAGAGAATTCTGTTTTGTACATACTGAAAATTGCAGGCAACATGTAATAAAGGTGAACATTTGTAATTTGTAAAATATATAAAAGTTTGTCCTTTGTAATATAAAAAGTGTAGCATTATCAAATAATTATTTGATCACTTTGGCTTATGTTTCCTAATCCCAATATATAGTCAAAATGATCAAATACTGTATATATTTTTTGTATCCTTTTGCGTTTCTATAATTATGTAATTATAACTTATTTGTAATTATATTGCAATGTAGACAAACACATGCATTGAAGTAAAATGAATGACAGTAAACAGTAAATAAAGTTTACCAATGGCACTATGAGGGAGAGAGAGAGAGAGAGAGTGTCCGAAGCAAGCCACTCGAGTCCAGTTGTTTAGGGCAGCTGCTTTCACAACATTAGATCCACTGTCGATAGTTACACACAATTGCTTCTTTTTATCTAGTTCCCAAACTACTCCCATATGTTTGAGGTAGCTCCGTGTTTTGGCACAATGTCTTCTACAATCTGCATGTCTTCACCATGGTCTTCACCGCCGCCCTCAGCCATGTTTGCTCTCTGCTCTGTTGTTGTTGTCCCTGCACGCCGCTCTGCTAACACGTGCCGCGCAGATGCGTCATCAAAGTGCGCCGCACACAAACGTGTCTTCCGCTCGCTGTTTTCAGTGTTAAATGATCGTTTTCACCGGTATAAGGCATTATCTTATCATTTAATTTACTTATACCCGGTACAAAAAAAATATCGCCCAACCCTAATCTGTAGTAGTATTGTTATAATGTCGGCAGATCTGAGGTGAGGTGAGGTAATATAGATTCACTGTGTTCACAAATTTAATATGCATGTATCAAATCTAAATTCAGCGTTGTGTGTGTGAACGGAAAACAATTGCAATGTGTGGCTCAAACTCTTCCAATCAAAGAATCCTTGTGTGCTGCTCCCATGTAGCCAGGTCACTCTTCCTGGGAATTTACACATTAGGCGTTCACAGCGCGTCTCCCAGTCAGAACAAATGTTTCCGACTGGGAGACGTGTTACTGCAAGCGCAAGAGTTCCATTCTAATTTAGGCGCTGCCTCGTGTCCATATGTCTGTCTTACGCGCATCTTACACTAGTAGTGTATACCTGGTTAAATAAAGGTCAAATAAAAAACAAAAAGATTAAAAAAAACATGGATCCGGATCATCCCACGAACAATTGACTTATTCTTTTATGTATTTAAAATATTTTTCATTTTCAATTTACAGTAAGCCAACTAAATTCATAGAACTTATTTCCATTGTTAAAAGTACAATAAATGTTGTCATTGCAGCCAAATAATACTGGCATAGGGGTAAAAGAATGGGAACTGATTGGACAGACACTACTGACCTTCATTGAATTGATGAAGGGGGAAAGAGGGCATTGAAAATATAGTACAAATATATTCTTTCTATGATTATTCATATTTATCTTTATAAAGGTCGTTCAACCAAACCATTGTGCAACCCCCCCCCACAAACCCCCCCCACCCCCCCCACCCGACCCCCACCCCCCTCCCCCCCCCCACCCCCACCCCCACCCCCCAAACCACCCCCACCCCAACCACCCACCCCCCACCCCAAACCCCCCCCCCCCCCCCCATCCCCCAACCCACCACAACCACCACCAACCCCAAACACCCCACCCCCCCCGTTCTGTAGTGAGCCGGTTCCTTGGCTTGCGCGGTATTAGGAACCGGGAGCACACACTAGGTCTTCCACAGGACAGGGACCTTCTCCAGGCTGAGGCTCAGGTTGTAGATGTAGGTGTGGAACTCAGAGAGTGGGACCGATCCCGTACGGGGCTTGCGGATTCCTAGTAATGGGTCGGCTCTGCCTCACACACAAATCCCGTGGTATGCCTTGCCTTGATCAGTACAGTGAACCATGAGTTGGCCCCCCGTGAGTTGTCCCCGATATTTTCCAAAATTTCCTGGATCCGGGGGAAGGGTGGGCGGTGGCGATCAGGCAAGTCATTTTGGTTTCAACAGTCTGTAATCCACAACATAGACCGGAGGGTTCCATCTTTTTTTTGGGACACATTACAATAGGTGACGAAATAGTGTGAACATGACTTTTGAATCCATCCTTACTCAGCGTCTTGAATGTTGAGACTTTACTTTCTGGTAGAAGATGACGTGCGATAGGAGTTATAAGACCTTTGGATGGGTACGTATGTGTTTTAACTGAATGTTCATTGAAGTTCTTTAATAATCAGTGTCCCAATCGTCCTTGGCAAACACGTGGCTCTCCTATCTCAGCAACTGCTTGACTTTTTTTGCTGCTGTCTGGAGAGAGATGGCTCAGGTCCACGGTGGATCCCATAGCTCCCCTTGTGGCCCCTCCCATGTACCCTGAGCTGTTGATGCCGTGCTGCCCTCTTCCTCCTGGGGTTCCATCGGGCACACCTTTCAACACTATGCAGCCAGCCTAGTGTTGTACAGCCACAATTGTAAGAGTCCAATATTATTTTTCCAGTCCACTCCAATAATAGACTCCTGTGAGCCACTGTCCCAAAAACAGTCGTATCCACTATTTAATGACGCTATGACCAGGGGGCATATTCGTCCACTGCTTAGCGGTTTGTCTTGCGTAGTACTAGGTGAGAAACTCCAAGATGGCGCCGTGCCAGGAGCGTCGCTGCAAGTGCTCCGTTGTGCACCGTTGATTTAAGTAGTCAGCGGCTCTTCTTTTTGCGGAAACTTAGAGAGTTACCAATAACTCTAAGATTCTGCTTAACTTTCATCGCGGCACCAATGAGAGTTTACTTGTTGGTTCTGTGACTGTGTGGTTTCGTAACATCACAAATAAAGAAAAGAGCGTTAAAAAAGGTTCTTCGCTCTGCAAAGAGGGACTGTGGGCTGTACGTTCTGTTCTGGAGGTTTTTATGAATCCAGACTCTATAAACAGAGCTATTAAAATCATCAATGACATCTTTCTGGCCACCCTGGGAAAAAGCCTGTTTCCAGCTTCTTCCCTCTGGAAGAAGATATCGGTCGCTGAGATGCAGACATCTCGCTAACAGAGAACTTTAATTCCTGCTATGACCCCTTGTATCGTTTTTGTTGATCGGTTGCCACCGGGACAAGCTGTTGTTTTTTATATTCTTTTATTTTCAGTGTAGGTGTATTTTATATTACATTGTATCCGTGCTTTTGGTCTGTCGGTGCACACAGAGTACCTTTTTGCAAATGTTTTCCAATGTCGTTTTTATACTGCACATGCTAATAAAATGAATCTGACATCGAGGGGGCTCTGTCCTGGTAGAACTGGCTTCAGTTTACCAGATGTACCAAAGGTCAATTTAATTAGACGAGGCTGAACATGAGTGACTTTACGAAAGCCAATAAGCCCAGTGGTCAGAACTGCCACATTTATAACTGTGGTTACACTTGCCTTGAGGATTGGTGATCTGGCAATGATGACACCTTCCCGGGGGTCTCTGGCGTTGCCTGAAAGTTCCTGCCCGAGCGGCGTGGTAAGATCTGTGTGGTGTGGGGGTCTTTGGGCTTGCTGGAGGCCTGAGAGAGCTGTGTAGACTTGTTGTATAGCTTCACAGATTGCTTTTATTGCCTTTGATCATTTTTCCGTCAAAGTCTCACGTTTTTGGGGGGTTCACTGGGCATGTTATTGTGGATGTGGGGCTGTGCTCTCCCTGTTAAATGTAAGGTCCTCCACCATTGCAGAATAATCACTGCTTTGGACTGGTCGCTAATTGGTTTTTTCATTCCGATTTCCAGTGTGTATGCATCTGTAACTTTCTCCAACAGCACTTCAGACACATTTAATCTCGTAGATATGGCTTTAAATCAGTTCTTATGGTGTCTGTCAATCGCCTGGTAAGTACAGTTTGCAAAGAATTGAATCTGTGATAAATCCGGGTGTATTTGGTCCCACTTTGGGCCCTTTCGGATAGCAAATAAAATTTGCCGTCTTAAGTCCATTGCTCCTGAGCACAAACTGAATTGGTGTCTCCCTGGGAGTCCAGTTCTGTCCAGGACCTACTGTAACATTATTTAGTGCTTTTTGGATCTTGACTCTCCAAACTGGGAATATCCAAGTTTGTCTTTTTGATGTTGGTTCACCAACTGTCCCATTATACGTTCAGTTCTTTTCTGTACAATTGGTGCACAAATGGTGGTTGGCATTAAATGGAGTCATAGTCACATGGAAACGGCACTGAATAGTGGGTGCAGCACGCGGGGCAGATGCACTTTGGGTTATGTGATGCAGTACTTCTGTATCCAGCAGAGGGAGAGCTGGCGCCGCAGGAAGTAGCTGAGGGTACAATCTTAATTCATCAATGCGGACAGTAAACTATGAGCAACAACGATAATCCTTCATCCTCGGAGCGAGACAACATCTTCTCCTTCCAGATTCTGTAGTGATAGTCCTCATTGCAACGAGGCTAAGGTCCTTGTCCTCTTCACTACAGATGCTCCCAAAGATTGGAACAAAGATATATTAAATCCGCAGCACAGACAAAGTCATTAGATTTTCCTCAATCCGTCCATTGCATTCTCCAATCTCCGACATCTTCGAATGTTAAGTATACATATTTGTAAAGTTTTTACCGTGCGTACAGGTAAACAGCTTCAGTCTCGTGAGTGCGCTGATGCCTCTGGCCTGAAGCTGGTGGCTTTGTAGGGGTTAAACTCCAAACTCTGCTCTTTTCCACAACAGCGTCGTTCCAATGCGATCTCCCAAACCCGAGCAGAATCACCAAGATTCGAAGTTGCACTCTTAAATGACCAGGAACAATACAAATAGTCGTTTTACAACGTTTTTGGTCCCCGTTCCGAGTCACCGGTAAAGGCTACGAGGGTGACTAAATCATGATCGCACCCGTCAAACACTCACTAGTTCGCAGGTGTGGCCGTGGTTGATACATTTGCAGCTAGCCCCTCAATGATAAAATACGTGCATAGATTTATTAATATCAATCAAATTCAATCAAAGTTTATTTGTAGCAGCGCCTTTATACACGGGCAACACAAAGCGCTTCACAGTCCCACATCCAAAAATCATCACATAAAAACAAACACCAGAATCACAATTTAAAACATTTTAAAATCCACACAAAAGATTAAAACACAATTAAAACATTAAAATCACACTTAAGAATTAAAACATTAAAAACTTTCAAAATTTACAAGAAATTTTTTACAAAAAAATAAAAAAATTGACAGCACGTGCATTTAAAAATGGAGAATAAAATCCCTTCAGTTATATGCACAGGCAACAGAAACAGTCTTTAACCGGATTTGAACATTGACAGAGTAGAACGCATCCCTACATTTTCAGGGAGATGCCTGTTCCAGATCTTAGCTGCATGGATCTGAAACGCAGCCTCCCCATGTTTGGTTCTCACCTGGGCACCTGCAGGAGGCCAGTCCTGTGCTCCTCAGAGTCGGGCGGTTCATATGACACCAACATTGTCACTAATGTATTCTGGTGTTTAGCAAGGCCATGGAGAGACTTGTACACAAGCAGAGCGTTTAAAATCTATTCTTTGAGCCAACAGGAAGCCAGTGAGGGACTGAGGACTCGGACTAATATGGTCATACTTCCTGGTTCTTTCCAGGACTCTAGCTGCTGCAATTTTGGATGTACTGCAGCTGCTTACAGGTCTGTTTGGACAGACCCTGTAAGCAGGCCATTGCAGTAGTCTAGCATGCTGGAGACAAAATGCATGGACAAGAATCTCCAAGTCTGACCCTGGACACTATATTTCTAACTTTGGCAATGTTCTTCAGATGTAAAAAGCTGGTGATGTTATTGATTTTATGTGGCTATTGAAAATTTAGGTCTGAGCCAGTATTACCCCATATTTCTGACCTTGTCTGAAGGAAGTAGTTACGGAGAGGAGGACTGAAGTGGACAAATGGACGCCCTCTCTTGGTTTCTGGGGACCAAAGGACAATGATTTCGGTTTTGTCTGCATTTAGCTGGAGGAAATTATGTTGCATCCACGTCACTGATCTGTTGGATTACAGTAAGGAGCATATTCAGTGGTCCAGTTCTCCTGCAGTCAGTGAGACATTGATCTGAGAGTAGTCAGCGTAATTGTGGTAGGACACTTTGTTTCTTAGTATTAACTGACCTAACGGTCAAGCATGTAGAGAATTAAATAGTGAAGGGTCCCAGGATCGACCCTGTGGTACACCACAGGTCAGGGCCACATCATCTGAGACGCCAAGTCTCCAAATCTCAACAGAGTACTTCCTCTCCTCCAGGTAAGACCTAAACCAGGTCTAGGGGACTGTGCCAGAGTGGACACCAGACCAGTCCTCCAGTCTCTGCGATGAGGATCTCATGGTCGACAGTGTCGAACGCGGCACTAGAATCTAACATGACCAAAACTGTGACTTCTACCTGCTAAAACAGTGTGAAGTTCGGAATGTCGTTTGTTACTCTTCATAGAGCGGTCCAGTGCTGTGGTGGGGTCTAAACCCAGACTGGAAACATATCAAAAGAATTATCATTGTTAAAAATTCAGTAAGTTGTTGGTGAGCCACTTTTTCAAGAATTTTCCAATAAATGGCCAGTTAGATGATGGGGCGATAATTTTAAGTCCCGCAGGATCCAGACTGCTCTTTTTTAGGAGAGGTCTTATGACTGCTGTTTTAAGGCCATATGGAAATGTTCCTGACATGACAGATACAAGTATTACAATGTTGTGTCAGTGAAGGTAACAAACTGCCTCAGGACGGACTTCAGAAATTTAGAGGGCATATATCCAGGATACATGTGGAGGAGTCAGACCTAATGATTATCTTTTTGACAGTTTCAGTATCCACAGGTGCAACAAAGTGGAGTTAGCTCAAAAGCATTCTATGGCTGTTGCATTGTTATAACGTGCTGTGGAGGTGATAGTGTTTTGTGTTCTTGTACTTTGTCATCGAAAAACTGTGCGGAACTAACACCTAGATTTAGAGGAAAAATTCTAGGGGGGCAACTTTACAGGGGGGTTCGTTCAATTACCAAACTGGTTGAACAAAACACAAAATTGTTACTGCAAACTCCAATAATGTCAGGAAAAATAAATTTCTCTTGGTCTACGTAGAACCCGGTTAAATTCACCAACTCCATCTTTAAAGATTTCATAATCGCCCTGGAAATTGGGACTTTCGCCACTTCCGTTCGGGCCCTCCGGCAATCCCTTGCTTCTGTGCCTACCGAAGGTTGCCTTAGTCCATGGACCTTTTTCTTACTGGTAACTATTTATAAACCGTCACAGGAGCCAATGGCGTCCAGAACAGTCAGAACACCTGGGTGGTGACAGAGTTATACAATTCATCAACAGTAGAAGCATGGGAGTTCTCAAATTTAGCTTCCCATGAACAGTTCACTTGTGTTATCATTGTATGTGTCTTCTTCTATCAGTTGTAAATTCAGCTGGTGGTTTGCTAGCAAAAACACATGTCAAAAAATTCACAGAAATGATCTTTCTGACAAAGCACATCAACTACATTATAATTTGATACATTAACCCCTTTGTAAAATTAGCAGGTATCAAGAGTGTGCCCCTGCTGTGGGTAGGGCCCACTCACGTTGCTGAATGAACAAAGGTCTCAAAGTACCAGAAGCAGCTCATTTGCATTTTCTGTCATCAACATTATCAACATTGTTACATTAAAATCACCGTGTAATAATCTAAAAACTAACAAAAATCTGTGCACTCGAATGAAAGTTAGTTCAGTAAAATGGTCAATAAGAATCGCAAAACATGACTGTGGTGGCATGTACAGGCACAACTGAAAAGAGAGTAGATGAATTGCTTTTGTTCCATTTTAAAAAGAAAATCTACTCAAACGATTGGAAAAATTTCCAAGGGGCATTTCTATGGGAGACGAAAAGTGCTCTCTGAAAAAACTGCAGCTATGCCTCCCCCTTTTGTTTTCTGCGTATTTCGGAATTCGAATTTAAAATTGGGTGGTGTTGCTTCTATTAGAACTGCATTCCTGTATTTTGGTCGAGCCATGTTTCAGCCATAAGCATAAAAATCAAGATCATAAGAAGTTGATAAAATTATTAAATAAAAATGACTTTGTTACATAGAGATATGGACATTCAGCATAGCAAGTTTAAAAAAAAACGTCAGAGTCGATTAAATTGGTTGATTGATTTCTACAGGGAACAGAAATTAGCTTTGCAGAGTTGGACGGTCTAACTGCTGTCCTGTTTTGATTTCGGTTTTTTGATTTAAATAACATTTTTTGAGCTGGTGCGAGGAAACACACACAGTCTCAATTGGCTTAAATGTGAAAACCCTTGTTTGTGTTCTTTAGCTCCCAGAGTCAGAAGGGAGTCAGCACGTTCAGTGTTTGGACTGGTAATGCACTGCCAGACGGAGGGAGCAGTGTTTGCACCGTTTTGTACTCACCCGGTGTGGGTGAGCAGGAGGCGGGGGAGTGCGGTGGGGTCCGAGGGGGCTTCAGATGTAAAACAGGTCACGCCCCCCCTCGGGGGAACGCTGAACAACATAAGTATGTAATCCATCAACAGGCTGCTACCGTATCTGTTTGGGTTGTAAATCCCGTCTGGACGATAGGGCCTTCGTTATCGTTTCCAGAAAGGGCAAAGTTATTCACAAAGACAATTTTTAAAGAGCTGCATGTAGCCCCTGAAGCCACACATGTACAGCGCCACCAACACGCACTGTAGAGGCAGTCACCTCTATTGTTTACAGTCTGGATTGGACCAGACAATAAAAAAACAGATAGACCGGGGATTTGAAGGAGGTGGAACAGATCCATAATCAATAAAAAAAAAACAAAAAATGGGTTTTTTTCCTTCGTGACTTCTGGACTGCTGAGTTCATGTCGTTAAATTCCCACATGCACGACTACCGTTGGGAAGACGAGTATCAGGCACCGGGAATGAAGCAGAGGATGGGAGGACGGATGAGCAGGTTCTGGTCGTAGCTCCGGGAATACCGCGAGTGACCGCGTTTTAAAGAAGCGGACGAGACTCACGATGGAATTCTCACAATAAATCAGAGTGTCGGGGCGAAGAGTGGCCTCGGAGAAGGAGCTCGGTGGACGGAACAACAGCGGGTTCACCCGAAGCAGGACCCGGCCTCGAGCGCCGCTGTGAACACATGGATGGAGGAGGAGCGGGGGGTGCGGACTCTCAGCTAAAGGCGACCCACGCTGTGAATGCTCGGGGACGATGGAGACGGATGAGAGGGGCTGCTCTGGGCGCTGCTGCTGAACCCGGTGGAGGTGAGCGGGTGGTGATGATGGCTCGCTACCCTACAGTCTGAGGCTGCTGGCACTGGGGTCAAAGAAGTGGGAACAGGCCAACATGGCTGGTGGACCGCTCTTTCGCCTGAGGACTGCTTCCTTTAGGAGCGTTTTTCTCGCAGTGACTTGGATCATCGAGCAGTAGAGGTACGCTGCAGTGTCCAGGGATTCTGCTTGAGGGGGCCGGGCGATGTCGGTGGTGGAGGAGGGACTTTTGCCTGCATAGGCGTGTTTGCCAGACTCAGGACATGGGCCCACGGCGCATGGATGGCCCTCGGAATCCGCGGGCTCGTTATTCGGAAAGCGGGCGCTTAGGGTAGAACAGGAGGGCCGGAGTGACGGATCTTTCTCCCACAACGACGTGTCGACAATTATGCATCGCTCAGTGACATCAGCCGTGAGTGCTGCCCACCAGCGACTTCAAAAAGTTTGGACACTAGAGATTGTTTCTAATTCAACTCTGCGGAGAGACGAAGGACTTCTTTTCGTAGATCTGCAATGGTGGAACGGTCGCTCTCACGGAGCTCCAAGGTGAGGCGACTAAATAATGTGCATATTGAGCAAATTTCATTGTCACTTTCCAGTCCTCGTTAGCTAGTGTTAGCCTCTGTGCTTACTAGTGGGTTTCAGTCGGGACTAAGTGCTATTTGTGAAACCACTGAATTAAAAGATAAAACACTCAGATATATTAAAAAACATGAACAATAAAAAACGCGATATAAAAGTTGTTAAAAAGTTTACTAAAAAGGTGCTACAGAGCAGCCCTTGCAGTACTGCTTACTTTGACACCACCTGCGTTGATGAGATTTGTGAGTGTGTTGCGAGTCATAATATGGCCCACTAGTTGAAAATAAGTACTGTAACTGTTGATTTGTATTAACATCAGTAGGACATTTTCTTTTGACACTTCCTGTCTCAACGGATAGTCGAGTGGCTCGCGCAACATCAGGACGGAAAAACTTTACAAAGTGTAAGACGTTTTCACACAGCTGGTCTAGACAAACGGTCATATAGAAACTGCACTAAATGGCATTAAAAGACAAAGACCAAAGTTTAGCTACTGTTGAGATAGAAGGAAAACAAGGTTATGGAAGGATTTTATTTGTGAAAACAATTGTAAGTTTCTTTAAAAGTGTAAATTAAATAGCAAAAGTAATGTAACGGTAACAATGTATTTTGATGATAGATAGTATTTGGACATGATTGTAAGTTGATTTTCAGTTCTGGTAGTTCCCAAAGTGCAAAATATAGGTATGTCCAAACCAAAAGTCTTGAAAAGGCCAAAAAATGCATTGAACAACCCAGAACACGTTCCTCATCTAATTCTATTCTATTCTAGCATGTATTCTGATTCAAGTATAATATAATAGTTTTTTTATGATTAGCTACACTTTGTAAAATTAAAAAAAGTATATAATTTTGAATACGTAATTTGTACACCTACTATAAAGTCCATAGTAATTTAAACTTTATAGTAAATGTACAACTTTTAGTATGTAAAGTTATGGTAATGTACCTTAAAGTATTCGACCATTATATTACTTTTTTGGAAGATTTTAACTTGAAAAGCTGTGTTTGCATTTCAGTCACTAAAAATTCAAAGACAAAAAATATTCGCTTTACAAATTTCATTGTAGAAAAATTCAAAAATTACATTATCGCTTTTTAAATATCAATATGTCTATTTTTGAGAACAAATTCCAATGCACTTCAAATTTTAAGAAAAAAAAGAGCAGATTTGTACATCTGATTTTGCATTTTTAATGGACCTCATTATCAATTTCAATTTTTTAATTCAAAAATTAAATAACAGATTTGATGCATATAGTTTCAAGAGCTTATCTAGATTAAACGGTCTAAAAATTAGTGCTAAAAAAAATAAACAATTCACATGACACATCCAGTGTTCTGACGAGTGGTGTGCTCTGTCAGTTTGCACATGCGCAAATTGGACTTTTCTCTCTTCACTGAAGTTGAATCTCTCGTATGCTGTCTTCCCCCCCGTTACTATGGATAACAATAGTTTAAATTGCTGTCTCTCGTTACTATGGATACATTAGTTTAACATTGCTGGGTCTCCGTTACGCATGGTATGTAGCCCATTCTAAAATGTATCCAAATTTGTGTTTTTATCATTAAAATGTTAATGATTTTATGCAAAATCAATATGTAATGTAATCAGGTTATTCACTGCTAACTTATTTCAATGTGTAGTACTTGTAGCGTCCAGTTGTGTTTAAGTTGAAGCAGAACTGATGGTTAAAATGAGTTATTTTGTCTTCCTATATTCATATAACCGAGCGTAAAGAGCTAGAACAGAACTGAAGATCAACTTACAATCATGTCCAAATACTATTAGCATCAAATACATTGTTAAACCGTTACATTACTTTTGCTATTTAATTTTCCACATTTAAAGAAAACTTTACAATTGTTACAAAATAAAATCCATCCATACCTTGTTCCTTCTATCTCAACTGTAGCTAAACTTTGTCTTTGTTTTTATGCCATATTAGTGCAGTTTCTTATGACGTTTGTCTAGACCAGCTGTGTGAAATCCATACACTTTGTAAGTTTTTCCGTAGGAATGTGCGCGAGCCACTCGACTTCCGGTTGAGACAGGAAGTGTCAAAATCAAATGTTCCTACTGATGTTAATTACAACAACAGTACAGACTTTTTTCCACTAGTGGCCATATTATGACCGTCACACACTCAATCTCATCAACGCGGTGGTGTCAATGTAAGCAGTACTGCAGGGCTGCTCGTGCACCTTTTTAGTAAAACTTTTAACAACTTTTTGGCAAGTTTTTATTGTTCAGTTTTTTAATATATCTGAGTGTTTTATCTTTTAATTCAGTGGTTTTCAGCAAATAGCACTTAGTCACCGAGGAAAACCACTAGTAGCACCGAGGCTAACACAAGCTACGATGACATGAAAAGTGACAATGAAATTTGCTCAAATATGCAAATATTAGTCGCCTCACCTTGGAGCTCGTGAGAGCGACAGTTCCACCCATTGCAGATCTACGAAAAGAAGTCCTTTCGTCTCACCGCAGAGTTGAATGTGAAACAATTTAGTTCCAAACTTTTTGAGTCGCTGGTGGGCAGCACTCACGGCTGTTCACTGAGCGCTGCTATTGTGACACTGTCGTGTGGGAGAGATCCGTCAGTCCGGACCCTCCTGTTCTACACCTAAGCCCCGCTTCCGAATAACGACGGCAAAGCGGATTCCGAGGAGCCATCTGCGCGTGGCCAATGCCTGAGTCTGGAAAACCGTATGCAGCCCTTCTCCACACCGACATCCCGGGCCCCTCTGCTGAATCCCTGGAACTGCCAGCGTACTATACTGCTCGAGGATCCAAGTCCACTGCGAGGAAAAACGCTCCTAAAGGAAGCAGTCCTAGGACGAAAGAGCGGTCACCAGCCTGTCGGGCCTTTCCCCTTCTTTGAACCCCAGTGCAGCGCCTAAGACTGGGGCTTGGAGCCATCATCACCACCGCTCACTCCACCGGTTCAGCAGCAGCGCCCAGAGCCCAGCCCCCTCTCACGCTCCAGCGTCCCCGAGCACACAGCGTGGGTCGCCTGTAGCAGAGAGTCAGCACCCCCGCTCTCCTTCCATGTGTTCAGCGGCGCTCAGGGCTCGGGGTATCCTGCTTCGGGTGATCCCGCTGTTCCGTCCACGAGCTCCTTCTCCGAGGCCACTCTTCGCCCGACCACTCTGATTATAGGAGATTCATCGTGAGACACGTCCGCTTTCTTTAAACGCGGTCATCGCTGTTTCCCGGAGCTACTGTACCAGACTGCTCATCCGTCTCCCTCCTCTGCTTCAGTCCCTGTGATACAGTTTCCAAGGTATCGTGCATGTGGGAATTAACGAATGAAACTTCAGCAGTCAGAAGTCACGAAGAACATTTTAAGGATCTGTTCCACCTCCTTCAATCCTCCGGAATATCTGTTTTTATTTTCGGCCAATCCAGACTGTAAACAGGAGGTGATGCCTCTGACAGTGTGTATGTGGCGATGCATGTGAGGCTTCAGGCTACCATGGCCAAAATCTTTTAACTTTGTCTTTGTGAATAACTTTGCCCTTTCTGGAAACGTACGAAGCCTTCGCCAGTCGTATTACACCCAAACAGATACGGTTGCAGCCGGTTGATGGATTCATACGTATGTTGTTCAGCGTCCCGAGGGGGGCGTGACTGTTTACATCTGAGGCCCCCTCGGACCCCACCGCACGCCCCCGCCTCTGTCACCAGCACCGGGTGAGTACAACGGTGCAAACACTTGCTCCCTGTCCGTCTCGGCAGTGCATTACCAGTCAAACACTGAACTGTGTGACTCCCTTATGACTCTGGGAGCTAAAGATCAACAAACAAGGGTTTTCACATTTTAGGCAATTGAGGACTGTGTGTGTTCCTCGCACCAGCTCAAAAATGTTTTTAAATTCTAAAAAACGAAATCAAACAGGACAGCGTTCGACGGTCCAACTCTGCCAAATCTAATTTCTGTTCCCTGTAGAAATCAATCACCACATTAATCGGACTCTGACGTTATTTTTAATTGCTATGCTTAATGTCAGGATCTCTTGTAAACAAATCATTTTAATTAATAATTTATCACTTCTTATGATCTTGATTTTATGCTTATGGCTGAAACATGGCTCGACCAAATACAGGAAATGCAGTTTTCTAATAGAAAGCAAACACCACCCAATTTTAAAATTCGGAATCCGAAATACGAGAAAACAAAAGGGGGGGGGCATAGCTGCAGTTTTAGGAGAGCACTTGTCTCCCATAGAATGCCCCTTGGAAATTTTTCATCGTTTGAGTATTTTTCTTTTAAAATGGAACAAAAGCTGAATCTTCTACTCTTTTCATTGTCATGTACAGGCCACCACAGTCATGTTGCGATTTTATTGACCATTTTACTGACACTACTTTCATTCGTGTGCAACGATTTTGATAGTTTTGTTATTACAGGAGATTTTAATGTACATTTGATAAGTTGATGACAGGAATGCAAAGGAGCTGGCTTCTGTATTTGAGACCTTTGGTTTCATTTCAGGCACGTGAGCTGGCCCCACACAGCAGGGGGCACACTCTTGACCTGTAATTAACAAAGGGGGTTAATGGTCAAATGTTAAAGTAGTTGATGTTGCTTTGTAGTTCATTTCTGTGTATTTTTTTGACATGTGTTTTGCTAGCAAACCACCAGCTGAATTTACAACTGTTAGGAAGAGACACATACATGAAAACACAAGTGAACTGTTATGGGAAGCTAAATTTTGAGAACTCCATGCTCTACTGTTGATGAATTGTATAACTCTGTACCCCACCAGTGTTATGACTGTTCTGGACGCCATTGCTCCTAGTGACGGTTAAAATAGTTACCAGTTAAGAAAAAGGCCCCATGGACTAAGGCAGACTCGGTATAGGGCACAGAAGCAAGAGTGACGGAGGGCCGAACGGAGTGGCGAAAGTCCAATTTCAGGAGGCGATTATGAAATCTTTAAAGATGAGTTGGGTGAATTTAACCGGGTTCTTAAGTGAACAAGAGAAATGTATTTTTTGACATTATTGGTGGTTTGCAGTAAACAATTTTCGTTTTATGTTTTCAACAGTTGGTAGATTAACGAACCCCCCTGTAAAAGTTGCCCCTAGAATTTTCCTCTAACTATAGGGTAATGAGTTCGCACAGTTTTATCGATGACATTAGTACAAGGAATCAAAAAACACTATCACCTCCACAGCACGTATAACAATGCAACAGCCAGAGAAGCTTTTTGAGCTACTCACTTTGCACCTGTGGATACTGAACTGTCAAAAAGGATAATCATGGAGTCTGAGCTCCTCACATGTACGCCTGGTTATATTGCCCTCTAAATTTTGAAGTCCGTCCTGAGCAGTTTGTTACCTTCACTGACACAAATAGTAAACATGTCTCTGTGTCAGGAACATTTCCTATGGCCCTAAAAACAGCAGTCATAAGACCTCTCCTAAAAAAAGAGGCAGTCTGGATCCTGCTGGGACTTCACAATTGTCGCCCCATATCGAATCTCCATTTATTTGGAAATAATTTGAAAAAAAGTGGCCTCCCAACAACTTACTGAATTTTTAACAATGAATAATTCTTTTGATATGTTCCAGTTGGGTTTGACCCCACAACAGCACTGAGACCGCTATAGTGAGGTAACAAACGACATTCGACTTAACCCATCACTGATGCAGGTAACACAAGTCACAGTTTTGGTCATGTTAGATATTAGAGCCGTATTCGACACTGTCGACCAATTGAGATCCTCATGCAGAGACTGGAGGACTTGGGCTGGTGTCACTGGCACAGCCCTGAGGATGGTTTAGGACTTACCTAGAGGATAGAAGTACTCTGTGGAGATTGGAGCCTGCGTCTCAGATGATTGTGGCCCTGACCGGTGGTGTACCACAGGGGTCGATTCTTGGGACCTCTCATATTTAATCTCTAAATGCTGCCGTTAGGTCAGTTTAATACAAGAACACAAGTGTCCTACAACAAATACGCTGACGGACACTCCAGATCTATGTCTCACTGGACTGCAGGAGAACAAGGACCACTGGATTTGCTCCTTCACTGTACAACAGATCATTGACTGGAGCAATATAATTTCCTCCAGCCACATGCAGGACAAAACGAAATCATTGTCTTTGGTCCCCAGAACAAAGGAGGCACATTTGTCAACTTCAGTCTCTCTCCCTACTTCCTTCACAAGGTCAGAAATTTGGGGGTAATACTAGACTCAGACCTAAATTTCAATAGCACATAAAATCATAACATCACAGCTTTTTACATCTGAAGACAAAGTTAGAAATATAGTGTGGCAGACTTGGAAGATTCTTGTCCATGCATTTGTCTCCAGCAGGCTAGACTACTGATATGGCCTGGCTTACAGTCTGTCCAAACAGACTCTGTAAGCAGCTGCAGTACATCCAAAATGCAGCAGCTATAGAGTCCTGACAGGAACCAGGGAAGTATGACCATATTAGTCCGGTCCTCAGGTCTCTGCACTGTGGCTTCCTGTGGCTCAAAGAATAGAATTTAAAACGGCTCTGCTTGTGTACAAGTCTCTCTCATGGCCTTGCACCCAGAATACATTAGTGACATGTTGGGGTCATATGAACCGGCCAACCGGACTCTGAGGAGCACAGGGACTGGCCTCCTGCTGGTGCCCAGAGTGAGACCAAACATGGGGAGGCTGCGGTTTCAGAATCCATGCAGCTAAGATCTGGAACAATCTCCCTGAAAATGTGAGGGAGGCGTCTACTCTGTCAATGTTCAAATCCAGGTTCAAAGACTGTCTTAGTTTGCCTGTGCATATAACTGAAGGATTTTATCTCCATTTTAATGCACTGCTGTCATTTATTTATTTTTTTTAAATTTTCTTGTGTAAATTTTGAAAGTTTTAATGGTTTTATTCTTTTGTGTGATTTTAATGTTTTTAATTGTGTTTTAATCTTTTGTGTGATTTTAATGTTTTAATTGTGATTCTGGTGTTTGTTTTATGTGATTGATTTGTGATGTGGACTGTGAAGCGCTTTGTGTTGCCCTGTGTATGAAAGGCTGCTCTACAAATAAACTTTGATTGATTGATTGATATTAATAAATGCACGTATTTATCAATTGAGGGGCTAGACTGCAAACTGTAGGTCAACCACGCCCACCTGCGAACTAGTGAGTGTTGACGGGTGCGATCATGATGGTTGTCACCCTGCGTGCCTTAACCGTGACTCGGAACCGTGACAATACAACGTTGTAAACGGACTATTTTGTATTGTTCTGGTCATTTAAGAGTGCAACACGAATCTTGGTGTTTCTGCCGTTGGAGATCAATGGAAGACGCATGGGAACGAGCCTGTTGTGGCAAAGCTTGAAGCCAGAGTTGGGAGTTTACGCTACAAGAAAACTCCACGGGGGCGTGTGATTTGTATGCAGAGCCAGTGAGTGACCCGACTTATGACTGCAAGACTCACGGACGGGACAGATTATGACAATGGGATATCGGGGTACAGGGTTGTACATGAAAATAACTCTTTGCTGCCTGCCTTTGAAGGAGAGTGGACAGCAGTGTGTGTGAGCTCCCTTTACAGCTGCGCGTCTGTGTGTGTCCACTCTGGATAACGTTTTTTTTTTACCATCCGTACACGGCACACTGTTAGCTCTCCGTGAGTTTTAGAATACAGAAACAAATGTCTCTGGGTTTTCTCCTGATGTGGCCTTAACACGTCTCTATATACTCACCTCTCGTGTGGAAGAACTGAGTAAGCAATTGCTTGCCCTCATTACACTTTTTCTCCCTGTCCTGTCTTTCTTTTCTTTTCTGAAATCCTGATTTTCCTTTCTTTGGAAAAGACATTTCTATTTTTCCCGCTTCTGCCGCTGCTTGTCAAACAAGTCAACTCGCTGCAGCGGCAGCAACACAGCAACAAGCGCACATGTGGGTCGTACCATTTGATCTTTTGTAAGGGGGTGGCAGGGCCCTGATATAGCATACAAATTTGTTTTTAGAGGAAAACTGAGGTTAAAACGTTGGTTATTTTTATACAGGGCCCCTTTCATTCAAATTGTAATAATATGAATATACCACAATGCCTAATACATATAAATATAAAGACACACTTTAGAGGGCCCCTCCCCGCCTTGGGCCCTGGGTACTCGGTACCCTTTACCCCCCCAGTCCGACGCCCATGGCTGCAGCAGCGCTCAGAACCTACAGCGATCGCACTTTAGCTGTAGTTAGTTTAGTTTAGTTAGTTTTTGTTTTTTTTACTTATCTAAGATGACAGGGACAGTGTACAATAAACATTAACCTCAAAGGGAAAGAGGCATTGTACCAGGTTATAGCTCAAGAGCTAATTTCCCCCTGTAGTCCATGGGCAGGCTAGTTTTATGATATTACATTAAAAATCACAAAAATAGGTGGTTAGAAAAGTGTATAACGTTGATTGAGGAATTTTCACCGCCTTTATACATATAACATATAACTGCTACTTTCGCTTCACTTATTGTTATTTTTTTAACATATTCCCTGCAATAATTGAGGGGCCACTGTATTTTTGTCTCTTAGCTAACTGATATTAGTCCACCATATCAGCAGTAGGTTATTGAGACAGTCCCCTCACTTCACTTTGTGTTCGTTCATATTCGGTATCTGCAGATATTGAAGACAAAGTGTTCAGGTCGTTTTATATTTAAGATGAGCCGTATTAAGATAACGTTTTTTATGGTAATTTGAGAGCTCACCGGGCGATGAAGAGGAAATCAGCCTGACACTTAACTTGTGTGTGAAAAATCAGCTTGAGTCGCTGGACATCCGTGGGTGTGAATGCTAATGCTGGAGAAAAGGCTTTGTGACAAAAGGGTCAAGTTTGATTAATATAATACCAACCTCCTCCTCTCTCTTTTTCTAGGAAAGTTATAAGTAGATGAAACTTTGATGATTTTGACCTGGTTTTTCCGCTTTTTTCTTTCAATAATGAACATTTAGCATACAGCCATGGATTAATCATTAACAGCTCTATGTACAGACTCAAACACATGTATATTCTGTGGGGTGTTCATTTAAGATTCAAACAGAGACTGTCTGTAAATATTATCAGAGTTAGAATGACCTCTAGCCGCTTCACTTCACATTTCTCGGCATCAAAGTTAGATAAAAATCACATTCAATGAACAAAGTCATTGTGAGTTGCAGTCCTAAGCTGATGTCAATACATTTTAATAATGTGTCATCCAGTAGTGTCCTCCGTTTCAGACTTGGTTGAAAACATATATATTCACCTTCCACCCCATGTCACCCTCAGGCCGGGCCTTTCTGTGTGGAGTTTTCATGTTCTCCCTTTGTCAGTATAGGTGTTCTCTTGCGGCTCCAGTTTCCCCTTCCACTAAAGGTTAAACAGTTCGGTGTGAGAGAGTGTTAGTGAGGACAACAGATAAAAATAACAAAAAAACAAGCACACATCACAAATTACAGGAAATTGTATCTATTTATCTACCTGTATAAATCTATATCTCTCCATCCATCCATCCATCTTCGTGCATTACAAACTATTCCTCCTTTGATAATAAAAGTAGTAAAAAGCGGTGTGTTCTTTGCAGACCTGTGGAGAAGCTGCTGCTGTCGTGGAAGAGGGACGGGCGGAGAATAGGAGGCGGCACTCGTCTGGTCCTGACCGCTCCGGACTCTTCAGACGCGGGAATGTACATCTGTGAAGCGGCCCTTAGCAACAGCACCACGCGCCCTGTGGAGGCCCGGGCACACCTCACCGTCACAGGTGACCCAACCCACTCACTCCAACAATGAGAAGATTGTTCAAAAGTTCATTTATGTCTGTATTACAATGTAAAGTGAGAAACAAATGATCAAAACTTGTTACATGCAAAGACTCAAGTTCTTGGAAAAGAAGCATCAACATTTTCAAACATAATGACAAATTGCACCATTTCTCAGTCATGTGACAATACATTGACACACATGACAAGTATCGGGATGATTGCATTTATTATGATTACTTTTTAATGAAAAAGAATAAGTAAAAGTCAACATCAATGGTGGGCATACAATATACGTTTATGGTTGTATACCCAGCATGCACTGCTGTTGGCTTGTCTTTCTAAGTCTCTGATGAGGAAGTTACCATTGCATGTTTTTCACCTGAAAGCTATATATGAGCATACACTTTTGACAGTATGTGTATCTGACCTGTGTGAGCGGTGTCTCTATAGCGCCCCCTACCCTGGCCATGCAGCCGAAGAGCAGGACAGTTGGAGACCTGGAGAGGAACGTGGAGATCCCATGTGTGGCTACAGGTAATTACCGCTAAAAACCCACACATTAGATTTGTTGTATTTATTTGAATGTGCAGGTACACTAAAACAATGATTTCACTAGATTTAGCACCGTACAAATCTCTTTCTGTAGTTAAGATAAATAATACAAAAGTTTTCCCATTTGTAAAACCATAACTTGAGCAGCAATATACCATTATACAGTCTTTCATTTTGCATGTTTCTTTCCTGTCTAGACGATTAAACTATACCGTATTTTACACAGTGCAGCGAGAGAAAGCAAACTTAATAACAAACACCTCGCTGAGAGATGTAACGCAATAACGGAATAATTTGGGTTTGGAAATGTCAAATGGAATTTCATAGACTCCGGTATGACAGTGGTAAATAGAGAACTTTTTCTTTATCAAAGTCAAGCGGAGTGGGAGAAGACAGACAGATTAGCTCATGTTTTATTCAGAATGTTTTTGGCCCCCGCTGGTACCCGTACCCACCTACACCTCCGATCGATATATTATTAATACTCATTATGCCAGCATGCATATTTATAAGACACGCTTAATGGAGAAGAATGCGTTTTTCAAAGTGAGTGTGTGGCCGTTTTTTATTCTTTTTTTTTCGGAGAACTACAAAAAAAAAAATTTATTTGCAAATGTACATTCTCTCATTTCCTTCCCTTATTGTTAGATTATAGAAACAACTGTGGGATTTTATCTGTGATTCTGCTATTTAGACTTGAACATAGAAGTATTTTCAGTTGTTTTTCTCTTTCAGGAGACTTGAATTTTTAACAGAAAACTAGTAAAAGCCAAAGTCTTGTATCAATAGAAATTTGTTGACACTCTTCTGAAAGACCTGGGAACAAAGGAAGGACATTCTTAGCTGTGAAGTTATCAGGCTTTTTTCTTTTGTTTGGTTTGAGTTTAGATGTGACCTCTGCCCCACAAATGAAGCTGTTTAAAGTTAACTCTTTGGACTTTACTTGAATCAAGTGTGAACAATATTTTTCTGGCTGCTCAGACCTGTGCAGTGCTATTTGCTCTGGAGAAGGGCTTGGTGCTGTGCCTGCTGATGCTTTTTTTCTAGTGTTTTACTTCTACAATTTGTATAACTGTTAACTGGACTGACCTGTCAACTTCCTATATGTTAACATGACTCTGTGCGTGTGTAGGTGTACCCCAGCCGAGGATGGAGTGGTTCAAAGACACCGTTCCCCTGTCTAAGCTGGCCAACCCGCGGTACAAGGTCACCATGGCGGCGGGGCTCACGGTGAGGAGGGTCCAGCCCGGTGACGGGGGAGTGTTCCAGTGCATCGCCCGCAACGCTGCCGGAGAGACGCAGGGCTACACACAGCTACTGGTGTCCAGTGAGCGCCACACGCAGCCTGCAGTATTCTGTTTGATGCTAGCTACTTCAAGTATTGAATTAGGGTTGAAATGATTGATACAAATGTGGAACTATTATCTGTTTCTTTACGTTATGAGTAAATGCTATTCCATATCTGTAGTAGGGTTGGGCGATATGGGCCTCAGCATGTATCACGATTTTTGTTGGTATGTATCACGATATGACGATATGATAATTTTAACAAAGCCTCATATAAAATCTATAAAAACTTAGCACTGATAATTTTAAACACACTTGCCTCAAAGTGCATTTACTGATTTATTGGCAGCAAAATGTGTAATACAGCTATTGTATATAAAACGTATTAACAAAACTGAATTGTAGAGAATTCTGTTTTGTACATACTGAAAATTGCAGGCAACATGTAATAAAGGTGAACATTTGTAATTTGTAAAATATATAAAAGTTTGTCCTTTGTAATATAAAAAGTGTAGCATTATCAAATAATTATTTGATCACTTTGGCTTATGTTTCCTAATCCCAATATATAGTCAAAATGATCAAATACTGTATATATTTTTTGTATCCTTTTGCGTTTCTATAATTATGTAATTATAACTTATTTGTAATTATATTGCAATGTAGACAAACACATGCATTGAAGTAAAATGAATGACAGTAAACAGTAAATAAAGTTTACCAATGGCACTATGAGGGAGAGAGAGAGAGAGAGAGTGTCCGAAGCAAGCCACTCGAGTCCAGTTGTTTAGGGCAGCTGCTTTCACAACATTAGATCCACTGTCGATAGTTACACACAATTGCTTCTTTTTATCTAGTTCCCAAACTACTCCCATATGTTTGAGGTAGCTCCGTGTTTTGGCACAATGTCTTCTACAATCTGCATGTCTTCACCATGGTCTTCACCGCCGCCCTCAGCCATGTTTGCTCTCTGCTCTGTTGTTGTTGTCCCTGCACGCCGCTCTGCTACACGTGCCGCGCAGATGCGTCATCAAAGTGCGCCGCACACAAACGTGTCTTCCGCTCGCTGTTTTCAGTGTTAAATGATCGTTTTCACCGGTATAAGGCATTATCTTATCATTTAATTTACTTATACCGGTACAAAAAAAATATCGCCCAACCCTAATCTGTAGTAGTATTGTTATAATGTCGGCAGATCTGAGGTGAGGTGAGGTAATATAGATTCACTGTGTTCACAAATTTAATATGCATGTATCAAATCTAAATTCAGCGTTGTGTGTGTGAACGGAAAACAATTGCAATGTGGCTCAAACTCTTCCAATCAAAGAATCCTTGTGTGCTGCTCCCATGTAGCCAGGTCACTCTTCCTGGGAATTTACACATTAGGCGTTCACAGCGCGTCTCCCAGTCAGAACAAATGTTTCCGACTGGGAGACGTGTTACTGCAAGCGCAAGAGTTCCATTCTAATTTAGGCGCTGCCTCGTGTCCATATGTCTGTCTTACGCGCATCTTACACTAGTAGTGTATACCTGGTTAAATAAAGGTCAAATAAAAAACAAAAAGATTAAAAAAAACATGGATCCGGATCATCCCACGAACAATTGACTTATTCTTTTATGTATTTAAAATATTTTTCATTTTCAATTTACAGTAAGCCAACTAAATTCATAGAACTTATTTCCATTGTTAAAAGTACAATAAATGTTGTCATTGCAGCCAAATAATACTGGCATAGGGGTAAAAGAATGGGAACTGATTGGACAGACACTACTGACCTTCATTGAATTGATGAAGGGGGAAAGAGGGCATTGAAAATATAGTACAAATATATTCTTTCTATGATTATTCATATTTATCTTTATAAAGGTCGTTCAACCAAACCATTGTGCAACGTAATTCAAAACAGTGATTGTGTCTACAAGAGTTTTCAAAGAGCTGGACTAAGTATCTAAAAGTTACTCAACCACAAAGTTTGTATTATATTTAGATGCAATATTTTCAACTAGTTTAGAGCTTCCTACCTGAATCATGCAGTAAATCTGTGTTTGAAAATATGAAAACTAGTGAACGTGTACAGGTATGAACAGGTACAAGTAGTTTAGTTAGATCAGAGACTGTGATTAGAGACAAAATTAAATAGCTCAATATTTTTAGTTCCTATAAAGATCTCCCAGAGGGCCAATGAGGTGGCGCTGCAATTACAATTTCATGAAAAGCTCTTAAAATAGGACAAGATTATATTCACAACTAAATACCATTGATGAGAATTTTGGTTGACACAGTTGTTAGTGAACGATGACAAGAAAAGATAACAGTTTCATGATGATATGCACCACCCTGTTATGGTTGTTGTGTGTAATTGAGCTGTGTTGCGTTCAGGTGTGGCTCCACTCTTCTCGCTGCCTCCTGTGGACCAGACAGTGACTGAGGGCCACACAGCTGTATTTCACTGTCAGACCAGTGGGGCCCCCAGACCTGCCATCGTGTGGAGGAAAGGTAATTGACCGTTTTTTACACTTCATGGAAACTTCTGTTATAGTTCCCTTACAATATTTATAATAACCTAATTACATGGAAGAATCTAAAGGTGGTGGGTTTGATCCCCCCACGTCTCGCGTCACCTGCTCCCACTGACTTTGTCCATTGTCCCCACTTTACCTAAAGCCTGTGGACCCGCCATCAACAAATTGTGTTTTTGATAATTTTAACTCTGTGATACAAGATAACTATAGTCATCTTTGTCCTGTTCATATAAAATAGAACTGACTTTCATCTCCCGTTTTTGCCGATTGTTTGTCATTTGTCTCCTGCAGGCACTCAGGTGTTAGCCAGTGGTTCTGTGCAAATCCCGGGCTTCAGCCTCCTCCAATCAGGCTCCTTGCAAATCCGGCCAATCAGCTCTCAGGATTCTGGAGAGTACACGTGCTTCGCTTCCAACGCTGACGGCACCATCAACTCTACGGCTGCGCTCACGGTCCTCAGTAAGATACAACTTATGTTTTATCTTATCTTATTTGATATAAACAAGGTGATGTCCTTGTTGCCATTTTTGGTGATCTCATTTTGCTTTCATTCATAACACACGCATAGTCTTTAAATGTATAGATTATGATGTTTTGAGAAACCGAGAGCAGTTCCATTGAGTTTTTTCTTCAAATATTTGTTATTAATCATAATCTATATGGGTATTCAACCCAGTCATCAAGGGTCAACACAGAATGAGAGCAGCAGACTTCAGAGTTGGATGTGGTTGGAATAAAAAAACAATGGTTACATAGAATACCTCTGATTATCTACTAATGCAGAATTTATGTTTATTATGATATCACTTCATAATGCGAAAGATAATGACGTATGTGTTTTTACCATCATCTGGAAGTAGCAACATTTAGTCAAAGAGTTCAAACATTCAGGAAAAATGGTTCAGCTGGTCCTGAGTTGTTTTTTTTTTCAAACTTGTACGAGAGTCAGTGTGCATCTTTCAACACTGGAAAACACTGGAGTTATCAATGTGTGAATGCAACATTAAAATAATGAAAGAAAAGGATTAGTGATTGCTAAACAAAAGGCGGTTTTCTGTTGTCTCGCTTAAGGCTGAGCCGGTGTGGTTTTTAATGGTGGCGGCTATCCAATTTCAATTTCAATGTATTTGATTTGCCAACAACAGTTTAGAGAATCAAACAATTAGAAGACAGGAAATGCAGTAACAATAATGAACACAAAAGAGCCATAGGGTAGTGGGATGACCAATGTCCATAAATCCCTTTTAACACCTATATTTCTACATATATACATCTGTGTGACGTTGACTTGTATGTGATGTAGCAGTGATTATGTGTACATCTGTCTCACTGGTCTGTAGTTACACAAGTGGCATCAATGTAACACTTAGTACACCATCCAGTATCACTTCTGCACAAAGATGAACGGAAGCCAATGCATTTTTTTCTGAATCACCATAAATCACAAGAGCAGTCGCCGTGGAGAACTATGGAAAGTTGTTTATTTGTCAAGAATAGATCAGATAATTACAATCAAACAATGAATCGATATATAACAATAATACAAACGAACATGCAAGAGCCATAGTGTAGCGTAGTGAAGACCAATGTATGTAAATGACCAATGTCCGCAAATGTTGATAATTATTCATAACAAGACTATTATTTCATAGCAACAGAAAAAAGTATTCAATTTTACAATATATAAGCCCAAAAGCAAACTATCGAATTGCTGCAATAATGCACTAGATCCTGCGGTCCAACACCAATCCACGTTTTGTTCATATATCCCGAACTTAATCTCAGTATTTGAATGCGATGCAATACAATCATTTAAAGTGATAGACAACATTCACGATGGGTTTGGAGTAAAGGTATAGTTAAAGTAGTTTCTGAGCCAAAAACTAAATCCCCCTGGAGGATAGAGAAGACACATTGAACTTTGAAAAGCCTCTTCATAAGCAATATGGGCCTCGTGAACTCAGTCTTTTTTATGCTTTATTAAGTCTAATTAAGTCGTAGTTGTGTTTTAAAGTGTTCCAGAGAGCCACAGCACCTCCTCCCGGCCTGTAATACCTTATCTCACCCTTTCCCCGATTAAACGCTTAACGTAGCGTTTTTGAACTTTAATTTTTACGATCCTATCAATATCTTAATAGAATATCACAGAGGCCTAATTGGAACATGGCGCTCCCCTAATAGGGCCTTAGTCAGCACTAACCTCAGATGTGTATGTGTGCATCTCATTTCCCTGTAAGTTCCTGATCATGGAAAATAGACAGTGTTTAAGTCGAACAAAGCGATAAGAATGTAGTGGCTGTGTTGAGCTGCACCAGTGCAACAGATACTGTATGTACATGAACATTTACAAGAGTACGATGATTTATTATGATTGGAAGTGCAATGGCCGTAACATTGTCTGATCTTGTCGCAGTTAGCTCAAGTTATTTTGTATAGCCTAGATTCACACCAGCAGTTGTTTTGTAGTAAAGAAAAAATAACAAAACACAAAAACCCACCTACACTTCCATTTTTGTTTCACATTTTGTTTTAATTATTTTAATTATTTACGGTCAAAAACACAAAATGGTCCAAAATAAATAGGAAAATCTGTCAAACTCAAAAGGTGGTTCGGCGGTGTATATGTCTATGGATTAGACCAGCTAACTGCCAAACATACCATTACAATGAGCTCCCAAGCAAATGTGCATGCACAAAATTGGCACGATGCCTATAGCTGTATGAGAGAAAATAATTGTGAGCAACATGGACTGGGCAAGTTTTTGACCTATAAATTTATTAAAGCAAGAGATCCTAACTTGGAGACCTGATCTGTTCCTACAGGATTTGAGAGCTATATTTTTTTATACCTCTATCTCGTCTTTTATCAGTGGAAAAGCGAGTACTAGCCCTCACTCAGCCAGTATAAAAGATTATAATATGACAGCATCTGTTCGGTCAACAAAATGTATGTATGAAACAAAAAAGGTATCCCAGTTTTGATGTATTCACATAAATCCATTATGAACCAACATAACTTTTGTTCTGTGTGTGGATGTGGAATCAGATACGAATATGACAGAGCAATAAACAAATCTGCAGGGTCCACAGTCAGAAGTGCTGGCCCCACTCTCTCTCTCCTTTTGCTCTTCCATCTTTGGTCATTTCATAATTCACTGGAACAGAAAAATGTAAGTCACACATCGTGGCACGAGGGCTGCTCACTGAAGCAACTGTCAGTCACACGAGAGGCCATGTACAGCAGCAGAAAAGGACCGGGGCTGCATCCAAATTCATACAATGAAATCATTTTTAAAAATACTTGATAATACTTTTAAATTTACTTGTTAGAGGACTATTTAGCCCGGGCCCGGCCACCAGGCGCTCGCTTTCGAGCCCCGACCCTAGGCCTGGCTCCAGTGTGGGGCCCCGGCTGCGCCATGCCGGGCGACGTCACTGTTATAATCGTGGTGCTGTTCATGGTTGGCTTCGGACTGCGCTTCGTCTGACTCGTCATCTGAGTCAGTCTTGTTCAATTTTTGAGACTTTCTATGACATTTAGACTGAATTCTATGCCACCAAGATTAATAAAAAGTATAAGGTAAAGGAATTTGTTGTTATGAAGTTTCCTTGTGTATGAACCATGCCATACAAACAAACTTGCCTTGCCTTGTATGAATTTGAATGCAGCCAGGGCCACCACACCCCACCCTCAGCAGACTTAAGTGGCAGTGTCAAAACACTCTCAGACGCTACGAGGCAGGCCAAATCTGTGTCAGTTGACAAACAATTCAGAATACAAAAATCTGATGAGAAAGGAATTGAATGAAATTGTAGCAGGGGACTCGGATGAACTTTTGCAGATCATAGATTTTGAGAGCGAGGCTTCAAAACGTGATTTCTAATGGCCATAATAGTAGAGTTGGAGTAGGCTTTAAGAACATTTCCTTTTCCACTGGGCCGTAAACTATTGATTTTCTAAACAAAATAGGCTCATAAACTTCTCTTTAAAGAGTAGAAATGAATCCCCATGGTCTGTCTCCTTGTTACATGTAAGTGTTCCAAAGAAATACACAGAAATTTCAACCTCTCTCTAATCTCTGATGATTTGAAAAATAATCAAAATATGAACAATTTATGAAGATAAGATAAGATAGACTTTTTGATCTCACACGGGAGAAATTTACATGTCACATTTGGCATGTAAATGTGTCTTTTGCACACTCAAGATTGTGCAAAAGACAGAAGTGTGCAAACATGTTAAAAGTTTAAAATATAGTCTGCGCAGATTATAATAGTTGCACTGTTTTCATAAAGACTAAGTAACATTTGCACAAACAGATATCTGAGTTTTGAAAATCTGTCAAACAAATGTAATTATCGCGCTATCATCTTCAACATGTTTTGTTTTTTGTGGTAAATGAGAAATACTTTGCTCAAGGAGGGGTAAACGTTTATTCGTATGGCATGAACATACATCTGGCTTTTAACATACTCACCTGGTTAAGGCTAAATTGTACGCCTTTCAAATATGTTTTCTATCTCTCACTGTTAGGACTCATTTTCACTTGCTGCTAAAAAGAAAGCGAAATAAATAGTTTAATACACAACTCTCACAATTTGCAAATGTTTGAGCTCTGGTTTTTGCTGTTACCTTGAGCTTAGCCTGGTTTTACCATACCCTCGTACTTGTTTCGTACAGAGGGTCTGGACTTTCTCAATTGAGCTCCGTTTACAAGTGGAAGGGGTGAACTTTGTTTAAAGTTTGAAACGATTGGATCTGATTTTATCCAATCACTAGCGTTTGGTTGTGACGTATGTTATGCGCCCGAGTGAGTGACGCAAGCTATCATAACTCTTGGGGGCAGCCTTGTGCATTCCTGCATACAGCATGCCGGAGATTTCAAGAAGAAGAAGAAGAAGTGACGCTTACAGGAAGTTGTAGCCTGGCCTTTGCCATCCGTAAACTCCGGTCAAATCTTTTTTCCCGGGATGTACGAAACAAGTACGAGGGTATGGTAAAATCAGGCTAAGGAAGTTGTATCCGAGAGAGAAATGCGGGTTTGGAGACGAAGATGGCTGTGAACGATAGCTGCAGGCTTTGCGAGACAAATTTAAGAGTTGGTGGAGTTATTGGAAACAGCAAATTAGTATTCGAAAAGAAGGAAGACAATATAGCATCGCATTTGCTAAAGCTCGGTTTGATAATTGACAAGACGCCGCTTTGTTCTTACCTAGCCTGGTTTTACCATACCCTCGTACTTGTTTCGTACAGATCTCAGGGTTGCTTGAACTATGTAACATGTATATAGATGTTGTACATACACATTAGTTAAATAAAAAATCTACAGTACACTACAGTATATTTTGTATGTCTTTCCTAGTTAACCTTTCTACAGAAGCCATATACATGTATCTTGTTATATACTTGAATTAAGATCCTACAAACATGTTTTGAAGAAAATAATCAGGTTTATTAAGGACAGTTTTGGGTTGTAGAAATGTACAAATGAGAAACTTTTCCAAAAATATGCACAATGAGTAACCAATGATGTGAACACACAGAAGTAAATGAAATTCTCATTGAAATTACTGCTCTGACTCTGAGCTACTAACATGGCTCCTGAGTTCATCATCATCATCATCATCAGCAGTGTCAAAATAGCCACTGTAATAAAGATCTGGCGCAGTGTAACCCCCCCTGAATCGGACGGCCGATCTGCATCCACATCTCCAAACACATCACTTATGATATTTAAAATCTCCTTGGCATGCTCCAATCTGAAGACAGGAATGTTGGCAATGATGTATGACAGGTCAAATATAAACTGAGAATGGTTCAATACACAGTCCACCAGTTGTTGACTGAATCCAGTGCACAATTCAGGTGAGGTGAAGAGCCGAGTAGATGGAGTGATTAGGCTGGCTCTGTATCCATTCAGTAAATATGCAATCAAAGACTTGTCCTCTGCAGTCACGTGCCTAGATCTCAAGTTAACCCACTTGCCCTGAATCTGTTCATAATCTGGGGTGGGTTCTTTGCATGTGCCAGATGAACAAGAACAAACAGTATGACAGTAAGTGCAACATACAGTAGATGGCCTGGTTCTACAAGGCTGGGTTCAGCCTCAAAATGTGAGAACATAATTTTCCTGAAACATGTATTGCGAAGAGCAAGCACTTCTTTTACCTCTTCTTCAGTCTTATAAGTGTTGTATATGATGCCATGAGCTGGCTGACCATTTCTTCCAGCCCTCCCCACCTGTTGTATTATGGACTCTAGGTGCCCTGGAACACCATACATCACCACATGTGAAACATTAGGGAAATTCAGGCCCATTCCCAAAGCTGTTGTTGCAACTACTACACGGCAATTCCCTTGCCCCCTCAGTGAAGCCAACACTCTGTCCTTGTTTTGGGGGAGGGACTTTCTGTGAAACATACCTATCAGGAGGTTCTCACGTTTATGCTCTTGATCACAGTCTACCCAGGCGTACTGTTGCAGTTCCCCCTTGAAGTAAGAAAAGACCCTCCCCACTGTTGTCATTTTTTGACAGTAAATAAGTACAGGCTGCATGGTTGAGCCCTTGTCCTTTACATGTTGCACAATCCAGTCTAAGCAGTTCAGTTCATTGCTGGGCACCTTGCGCAATCCAAGACGGATGTTGGTCTTGTTAGGGCTAGCGATGATGTGAACGGCACTGTCCATATGAAGTAGTCTAGTGACTCGGTTTCTGGATTTTATGTCAGCAGAGGCAGTCAACGCCAAGAATGGTGTACCTGTCAGACAAATTTACAAAATTAAAATATATCACCCACATTTACATTAACAGTATTACTAATATGACATGTGGGCGGCACGGTGGCTGAGTGGATAGCACTCTCGCCTCTCAGCAAGAAGGTCCTGGGTTCAAATCCCGGCCGGACCAGGGCCTTTCTGAGTGGAGTTTGCATGTTCTCCCCGTGTCTGTGTAGGTTTCCTCCGGGTACTCCGGTTTCCCCTACCACTAAAAATATGTACAATAGGTCTGGCATGCGCCTTCTGTTCGGCGACCCCGCTCCCATCTCTGTCTGGAGTGAGAGGACAAGTGCCCAAAAAAATAATAATAACAATTGTAAACCGCTTTGTGACCCTTGTCTGTGAAAGGCGGTATATAAATAAACATTACTTACTTACTTACTTACTATTGATGACAGTGTGTATTTGTGTGTGGTTCTTCTGCCTGTGTCTTGCTCTATAACACTAGCTGCAATGCATGTACTGTGGTGTCTGACTTAAGATAACACTTTATTGTTCTCACAATGGAGAAATGTACTCGTTACAACAACTCTTAAAAAAAGAAATCATAATTGTAAAATAAAAGTCCCTTAGAATCTACCTATAAAAAACATGTATAAACTGAAAACTACACTTGCACAGTGGGGTTGCCGGGGGCTGAGAGTTGGCTACATAGTGGTTATTCTTGCCAGTTTGATCTTTTTCTGGAACTATAAGATTGCAGCATTTTTCATGTCTCTTACTGCATGTTTTTTAACTTCCTTTTACTGAATGCACAGTACGTTTAGTACTGTACAGTCGAGTGTGTACTAACGTTACTCTTAACAACAATGCACTGAATCCAGGGCACGGATTTGTTAACATGTCAAGCAGGAACAACACAGAAAACATTCAACCCACCTTCCTTCATGATGGATCTCAGCTCACCAAGTTTAGAAAAACTCTCTCGGAATGGTGACTCGCCTTTGGACGCTTCACCCCTGAGACAAAAAAAACGGAATGCAAAATTGTCATCAAGCAACAATAGTCTACCCGATTGAGTATGCAAAAAAGCCTAATTTCTGCTGTTTTAAAGTTCACTTACCATTTAGCTTATATGTAACATGGACTTCATCAACGACGATGCCAATGATGTTGTCTTGGTAAACAGACGAGGTTAGCATTCGTCGCCATTTGGAGTTGAGTAGCCAAGACTCAGGGCTCCCAAATACCAGGCTGAAATGTCCTTCCAAAATGTCACGATCGTCGTGCACATCGAGCTGTCCAGCACTAACTCCCAACTTCTCAGCCTCCTTGACTTGATCCTCCATTAAAGCCAAAAGAGGGGAAACGACTACAACGATAGGATTAGCTTCACTAGCATTCAGCCTAGCTATCTCCTTCACCACTAACGGAGCTAACTGGAAAATAAGGCTTTTGCCGAATCCCGTGGGGAGTAAAGCCATGACATCTTTACCAGCAATGAAATTTGCTAAACATTTCTCTTGCTCCGACTTCAATTTCTGGATATTTGGGAGCAAAGCCAGAATGGATTGAAGAGCTTCGTTTATTTTTGCATATGCCGCCATTGCCAAACTACAGTGACTACAACCGGCGCAAATGCTTGACGTCACCTACAACACCCGCCTCCCCCGCTCGCTGAATGGTAGGATGAAATTCTACCGATTGAATCGCAGCCAGTGGGAGCAAACCCAGACGTACATCCCGGGAAAAAAGATTTGACCGGAGTTTACGGATGGCAAAGGCCAGGCTACCTTGAGCTCAACACTTCACCATTTTGCTCCTAGTTAATCGTTTGATTGAAGGATTGTTTTTTCTGCAGATCGGACAGTTATTTCCCTGCCCCCGTCGGACCTGAGGGTGATCAAAGGTACCACAGCGACCCTCAAGTGTAATGCCACACACGACCCCAGAGTCAATGTCAGGTATGGACACAACATTGCACTGATATGCCAATAAAATGTATACCATGTTTTAATTATGACAAAAAATAGTGCACATTTTTATGGCCCAATGAATAGTTTGGCATTGAAACCATCTTCCATTCCATTCAAACAGACTGACCGGGTTACACAGGGGATTTTTTTGGATATGTTGCTCACACATTATTTTTTAACATGTTTTTACAAGCATTGCTAAAGTACCGTACTTTTTGGACTACAAGGCGCACCTGTATATAAGCCGCACCTTCTAAATAGGCTGCACTGGAATATTGTTATGCATAATGTAGCAGATAGACAGTTTGGTCACAACATGATTTAAAGATGATATGTTTAACAGCTTAACCGTTAGCTTCCATCGATACTGATTCATCCATCTATTTTGACATTAAACTAATGCCCTATAGCAACTAAAACTTTATGGATTCAAAATAATAAGTTCATAAACTCTGCTCTCACAACAACCCAACTCTACCACCTATACATACAATACACATACCAGTCAAACTGCATTATAAGCCGCAGGGTTCAAAGAACTACGAAAAAGTAGCACCTCATAGTCCAGAAATTACGGTAGCATAAATATACAGTAAAATATCCAACTTATTCATATTCTGCCTTGACTTAAAGATCAGTCCCTCCAAGATTGTGCTGTTTTTTATGATGCAAAACAAAATTCCTGCTTTTGCTGCCAAGTTTTAAAACAACTTTTTTAATGCAAATACTGTTACTGATACCAAAATCACATAAAACATAAAACAACATGTCCAGGTTTTCTTATGAGAGTGGATGAGTCTCACTGATCATAACAGACGTATCAAGGAGCTGCTCATGAGAGCTCACCTGTTTGAATGGGCCTCACTGGAAGAGCGCGGACTCTGAGTGCTTTCCTTTAGGCCAGAGGAGCTCCCGAATCACATTCTCACTTCAGACACTGCAGAAAAGAGCTACAATAATGTAAGTGCAATGGATGTCTGTGCAGATCGATTCATCGATTGATTTATTTATTAATTCCAAGCAGAGCAGGGCATAGGCTACTCAATCTTTGTTTTTGTTATTGCTTTTTACAGTACAGAACTATTGCATATCATAGAAATGACTTGAAGTGTCTGATAGAGGCTACTCTTTTGTTTATGTTTTAATAAAATCAGTTAGATGTAATTTTACAGTGTATATGGCTATCACGCGCAGTAGAAATAACTCAACAAGTGTGCGCGACTGCTTTTGTTTTCTCCAGCGCCTGCTGTACCTTACCACCATTTACACAGCGCAGCTGATTTCAGATATGTGCCCATTGTTGAAGACTGGAGGCAGGAGGACATGTGCTTATATCTTAGACTTTTGTTCCTGTCTACCTCATATCAATAATACAGCAAACATGTTATTTTGTATTAGGTAGTCAACTATGAAAAGCTTCCTAATCAAACAGGTAATGATACACACAGGACTAGCACATGGTTGGCTACTTTGTTAAACACGTTTTACGGGCGGCTGGGCGTCTTGTTGGGCTTATGGGGCTCAAACTTTTTGGCCAAATCTCATTGTCTAAAAAAGGAAATATTTCTGTTACTCTGCTGACACACCCGGCCTGTTTCTCGTCCCCCATTGAGACCCATTCAAACAGTTAAGTTGGACTGAACAGAATCAGAGTTGTGCAAAATTGTGAATTAACAGGAGTGAGTGAGTGAGTGAGTGTGCTTTGTGTTGTCTTTAATGAGTGCAAGGGGTTGGATTCATATGTGTGTCTGCTTTGTCTAACCCCTTTTCAAACTGTTTTGCGATTTACATTATTTTCTATTCTGTTTTTTGTCACTTGTACATACATTTGAAAATATATAAACTACTACAACTACATACTGTATATACTATTACTAATATGTGTTTAATTGCAGTTTCCTTTGGGAACGCGGGGGTGCACCAGTGGTCTCCTCCAGCGGGGGGCGTGTCTCAGTGCGTCAGGGCTTGCTCACCATTGGTCAGACCTGGTCCGGTGACATCGGCGACTACACCTGCACTGTGCTGTCCGCGGCCGGAAACGACTCCCAAACGGCACGCCTGGAAGTCATGTGAGCCATAACTACAACGACTACTACAGTCTTCTTACTACTGCTCCTGGGTTTGCTACTACTACGCTGTCGGTGTTACTTTAACTGAGACCATTTCTTTTGTCAATGAAAACATATCAAAATTCTAAAATGGACTCAAACATGCACATATACATATTTGATTGAAATGCATCTATTCAAATATTTAATTATGTATTTGATTGATTTAGGTAATATATTTATGTAATGTATTTATCTTTCTTGTCTTTATTTATAATTATGTTTTGCATAAGAATGAAATCTAAAAATGCATACTATTTGTACTGTATGTTATTAATAACGTAAACATAGAATACATTATTGCACATAATATGACACAACATGTCACAAAACATGAAATCAACACTGTCTCATAGAGGACAAGTACATGCAAACATACAATTCTGTCTGTTGCAAATACAATATACATAATACACATAGTACGCAGGGCAAGAGGTCAGCAGAGGTCAATGAGAGAAGGTGGCCTGAGTAGGCAAGTTTTATTATAGCCATATTTTTGACTATATGGGTGATAGGACGCTTAATTTGTGTTGGCTGTGCATTAGACGTTTTCAATCAGAGGTGGTGTGGACACAAAAAGCAGTTTGGCCAAAAGCACCTCTCCTCGGGGGAGGCTGCAGTCCCCTCTTACTGTTCTCCTGGTTCTGCTGTGGCTGCTTTTTCTGGTGTTAATGAAATGACTAAAGACCTCGTGTGAACGGTTGTATTGACCAGACGCATTGGAGTATTGACCACGTTTTCCGTTCAATGAACTTGAGTGCATTTTGTTGTGATGTTTTGTGCACAGAGAGCTGCCCCACTCCCCCCGGTCGCTAACCGCCACGCTTAACGAAACAGACTCTCGCTCTGTGCTGCTGTCATGGCTCCGCCCCTTTGATGGAAACTCTCCTCTGCTGTACTACCTGCTGGAGCTCTCAGAGAACAGTAAGTATCAGACTGTACCACTTAAGGCTACAGTGACTTTATTCGTTTGAGAGGAGACTTTATAGACAGTTCTGAAGCTGAAACTTGGAATGGCTACTGCACTGTCTTAACTAAAGACAAGAATTTGAAAAGAAAAGTTTGATTGTTCAATAAGTGAATTCCTCCAGCGAGACTTGTGGCCGGTTTTCCTTTAACAAAATACATTTGTTAAGGATTTAAATTCTGTGTTGGAGCATTTTATTATTCACTTTTTTTTACCACATTGAATGCCCTGTTTCCATCTGCCCCAATTGGCCCAACTCTTTAATTTACTCCGCTCTACTCTATCTGGTTGTGTTCCATTATTACTAGTATCTGGTACCGTATCCTAGCAACCTACCCACAACAAAATAGTATCCAGGAAATCCCTTGGTAACCATGGCTTCCAGCAGAACACTGTCCATCTGCGGGCTAGAACACTTTAGCACCAGGGCCATCCAGGTACTAAAAAAGGCTAGTGAAAACGCTCCCAACCGTGATACAGTTTATCTGTAGTGCTTATAACAATGTGCTTGTCACGTTGTAAAAATGTATCCTTCTGTGTTTCAAGTGCTGTGAATTAGCTTTGGCTATAAGAACCACGATACATGCATCAGACTACCGTGTAACAGTTTGTGTTCTATGTTGAGCCGAGTATAGTAGAGTAGGGCCAAGTAGGGCTGGTGGAGATGGGGCTTAAAACTATGAAAACTTGAAATCACAATGAATGCATGAATCCACATGCTCTCCCTAGACTCTCCGTGGAAGGTCTACCTGTCTGAGGTGGATCCGACCGTGGCCAACATCACGGTGGGCGGGCTCACTCCGGCTAGGACCTATCAGTTCAGGCTGTGTGCTGTCAATCAAGTGGGCCGGGGCCAGTACAGCGATGAGACGCAGAGGTGAGATTTTATCTTATGTTTACACATTGAAATATTTGACAAGCTACTGTTGCACTGTTCAAATGTCATTGAATGCACTGAGCGTACTTATTATGCCATATTATGTAATATTTAACTTTTCACGTTGTCATGAGTGTTATGTAGTCCTTTTTTCATGTGCCGTTCATTCCATTAGGCACCTATTTCAGCAGCACATATAAATATATATATACACATATATATATACACATATATATATACACATACACATATATACACATACACATATATACACATACACATATATACACATACACATATATACACACATACACATATACACACATACACATACATATACACATACACATATATACACATACACATATACATACACATACACATATATACACATACACATATATATACACATACACATATACACACACACATATATATACACATACACATATACACACACACATATATATACACATATACACACACACATATACACACACACATATATATACACACACATATATATACACACACACATATATATACACACACACATATATATACACACACACACATACATATATATACACACACACACACACACACACACACACACACACACACACACACACACACACACACACACACACACACACACACACACACACACACACACACACACACACACACACACACACACACACACACACACACACACACACACACACACACACACACACACACACACACACACACACACACACACACACACACACACACACACACTGCGAGTGACGGGTCCGCACAGATGTAGTGTACTGTGTGACTCTTGTGCATAGGAATGACTCAGAAGTCTATGGATTCTGTCTATGTTTAGACATCTTATCGCGAGCGGAGTGGGAAGTGGATGTTGTGCAGATCTAGCGTGCAGGATAGTGACACGAGTGAGTAGTCACACACATATAGATTTACTCTAGAGGAGTATAAATGACGCGGGTGTAACGTGAATGGGATCTGCACGCCTTGGGGGCGACTGTCGTTGACATAAAGGGACGTGGTCAGGTTGCGATTGTGACGCGAGACTGTGATAGTCGTATTCGTGTCGTACACATTTAATTGGGTGTAACAACGACGGATGTTGTACTGACACGTATTGGGAGTGCGCACTGAGAGATGGGCGTTGACACAACGTTATCTTGACACCAGAGGTTTTTTGTGGGGTAGTAGGTTTCTCTATTCGGGTATATCTTTCTCTATTCTATAATGGATCATTTATCATAAGTGCTCTCAGGAAAGCGATAGGAAAGTAGACTATGGGACATGCTATCTCTATTACTATATGAGTCTATTATCTTGTCTACATCTCTCTAGGTTTGTCTCATGCGTCAATTACTATCTATATGTCACTATTAATCTAAGATCATGTGGGGGTCATACTCTATCAGAGTGTCTCTAGTGCGAGGAGCAGTTTTGGGGGGTCTGAGGATATATAGGGATTTTAGTATATAGATATACTCTATGGGAATGTGTATTATATGGGTATAGTGGGGGGGAGAATAGACTCTCTCTTAGAGTTTGTCTCATATCTCTACTCATATATCTTCTCTCTAGTGTATGGCTATATATCTCTGTGACTCTATATGGGGATGAGAGTATGTCTGATATATAGGTATTTTTATAATCTCTCTCATGTGGTGTTCTCTCTCTCTCTCTCAGGTCTCTATGGTCATAGAGTTCTCTCTATTAAGATGTTGTATGGACAACAATGTGGATAGGAAGAGGAGTGGTGCAGGATTTGATGGTAGGTATATATGACTATTGAGGTGTGATTTCGAGTGGACACACATCATCTTAGAGATTACTCTAATCAGAGTATAGACTATTGATTCAGGTACTGGCATGGTTGCAGGAGTGGGTCACTACGGTAGTTAATTGGTGATTAGAAAACAGACTTCTAACTGATTTAGTAATAATTAGAGAGGAGGGAGATAGATAGAGCATTACAACACTCATTTTTTGGTGTCAGAGAATGTTCATGGTTATGTTATGGGGTTTTTATTATTGTTAAGTATTATTTGGCATGTGGAGTCTGTCTATGTGTGCATTATTGGATCTACTTGTTTCACACTAGTGGGATACACTCTCTTATCCTGGAGTTGATACTGCACATTGTACAGCAGTCTACATGATAGAAGACGGTCATACATGTATCTATATGGATTCAGGAGTATAGGACTCAGTGATGACATATTCCTTTTGCACAATATGCGATTGATAGTTACACTCGAGTGAGTAGTCATGGAGAGTATCTGTATAGGAGGTGAAAGATATGTAGTATGTGATAGGGTGTGTAGCACGAGGTTTGGATAGTACATGAGGATATTTGATAGCAAGAAGAGTCATCAGGGCAGAGGTGGTGTGATAGTGGTTACGTCTGGGGAGAGAAGATCAGGGCACTGATAGCATGTATGTAGCGGGGTGGGGTATAAGGGACTATTTGGATATCTAGTAGAGGTGTAGGGTGAGATTAAGATGAGAAGAGAATGAGTGGTTGACAGTGTGAGTGTAACACTCCTAGTTAGAGGAAGGGGGTAATGTGTCATCTGTGGCGTGTAGTACGCGATACATCAGTATGTCTTAATGTGATCGAGTGAGCAGGTGACACGTAGATGTAGCGGGAGCGTGTTGTCTCACTGGACGCACATAGGGGGTGTGTGTGAGACTGGTAGTTCACTTTTACAATATTTACAGATCTGTACTACTTCATGTAGTCTAGTAGCACTACAGCGTGTGATGAGTGGGGATGGGTACAGAGGTAGATTGGTGAGATCGGCGGGACAGATCTGACACGGATTGGGTGAGAGTACAACACAAGAGCATACTTAGAGATGTAACGGATCCGTTGATAGGAAGGTGCTAGCACGCTAGTATACTAATTGAGATAGTTGACAACAAGTGTGAGGTGAATTTGACACATGTCAATAGATCTGTAATCTGAGGAGCACACACTTAGAAGCACGAGACATACTTGTATGAATTGAAGTGGAGTGAGGCGAAGGTTACAGGTCTTGATGCAGGATCAATGGAGGCGTGGACAGTAGAGTTTTGAACGATCTTTGAACATGATTGTGACTATTACTATCTATTGATCTGCGTGACACACACTGGATTCAGCGTAACGCGGAGTGGAGGCGATTAGGGGTGTAGGGATCGGCGCACTACAACAGAGGACAGCAGCACATTACAAAATGCGAGGGTCCTGACATGTGGGGACGTGAACGGGTGATGGGGGAGCGGTGACGACATGCGATAGCACGCGATGTGTGCACACACAGGAACGACACATGGGCGCGTGTGTACAGGCGCGGCAAGAGGGGGGGGCGGAGCGGAGTGATGATATGGCTAGTGACGATGGTTGGGGGCAGGGGCAGCGTGTGTGGGCACATTACTAATTGTTCTGAAGGATATCAGTTGAGCAAAATGGGACACATAATGGTAACGCAGTATGTCGTTCACTAATCTGTAGCGGGCCAATGTGGGACCGCATAGAGAATCAGGCACGAGCATGAAGCAAGAGAGCTGAGGCATGACAGAGTAATCTGACAACTCTGACGCGGACATACTTTGGACAGTGGACGGTGGCGAGAGGAATTAAGAAAATATAATTAAAAAATGATTAATTAGAGAAAAATTAAGAAATATAATTAGGAAAAATGGGTTGAAGAGAAGATAATTGAAGAAAAGATAATTAAGGGAAGTGATGAAATTAAGAAATGGTCTGACGACTAGTCACTAGAGTAGAAGTGCATAGAGACTGATATGACAAAGAGACAACAATGGTGACGCGGCAGACGAGGTAGAGAGCAATGAACAGGAGACAAGGGTATTGGGACATAGGACATGATGAAGGGGAGCGCGCGTGGCGTAAACATAGGAAAATAATAGGTAGTAACGATATGGGCAACTGACTCCTTGAGACGAGTCAGCGAAGTCTAATAATTACTGTTATCGCGTAAATGGAGGAAGAGGTGTCAGAGTAGCTGAGAAGGCGAGATTTAAGGCACACACACACAGCGTGATACGAGAGCTTGGTATAGAGTACACGTTAGAGTGGCATGCGCGAATAATATGGCGGACAGGGGGGTGACACTATAGTAAGAGTCGAGACCTATATATATTCATATTTTCAGATGACTGTTATGAGCGGACGAGGGCGGCAGGTTTGCTGTCTGGATAGGAGAGAGAGCAAGCACGGAGGACAAGCTGAAGCGGCGAGGGATCAGGGGGGAGCGTGACACTAGGTTAATGGCATGGGATAGGTGAGAGGTGATGATATATTCAATAAGGAGATCAGGTACACGAGGGAGTGCGTTGGGACACAGGTAGAGTATCAGTGTATAGGATGGGGATAGGGACACAGGGCACGAGTTGGCGTATTTGAGTGCACAAAGAGCGGTGAGAGGAGATGGGAGTTTGTAGGTCAGGACATACATCAGGTGTGACGCGATGTGGGCGAATCATCTATATTCTGCAATTGTAGTCTAGAATTGTAACACATGGGTAGAAATGGTAGGATTGTACGACAGAACACAAGGACAGAGACATATGAAAGAAATGGGAATGGAAAAATGAAGACGAGATGACAGATAGACACTTAAGTACAAGGGCACGGAACTGTGGACACCTGGAGTCACAGAGGAACAATGGTGCGGGGAGTGGTGGGTGGGAGTGGGACCGGAGGGTGAGGATCTTGATAAGCGGAGAAGGCATAGAACTCGACTGGTGTAGTTTACTAGTCATAGACGACACATAATAGTAGTAGCACATGGGTGCAGTATCGTCAATGACAGACGAGGTACAGAACAGTGGGATAGAACATGAGCACTGAGAGAAACAGTGGTGCTGGTCACTGATTGGTCTAGGGTGCTGGACATATGAAGGGCGGAGATATATGTGTGCGTGACGTACATATAGGTGCGAGTGAGTAAAATCTACTAATCTTGATACTGATAGTATAGAGGGGTATCAAGTTCTAGCAGAAGGTAGGTTTCTGTAATAATGACAGAGTGACTCATATTTCACAAACGAGAGAGAGTGACAGTAAGCAAGAATCGAGGATGGGAGAGATTAGAGTTAGACGTGACACATCTTAGGAAGATAGCAGAGTGAAGAATCGGGGCAGTACAGGGACTAGGGGGGGTGGAAATGTTTTTTTTTAGTAGTAGACAGTGACTATTCATCATTATGGGAACGACAGGTTTTTGTAGATGCAGGTGCGTGTCGGTTAATGTAGTACGTATCAGCATGGTTAGGAGTGGCAGGAGCAGTTTGTTGCAGACAGAGGCAGTAGGGAGTAGTAGTATTGCAGGATTTGCTCCGAGACAGGTCTATATACTTGAGCAGTGGTGATGTCTCTCGGGCGTGAGCTGCAAAGGAGGACTATAGATATGGGACTGTAGGGTGTGAGAGATTAGGATTATAATACTGGTGTCAGTAGAGAGAGTATAAGACTCTGAGGTACAGTCTACGGACACGTACAGGGTATATAATAGACGAGGTGCGGTATTACACGTGAATCGTATGATACAGTGAGAGGATAGTCAGTCTATGCTAGGTCACTGAGATGTAGTGGTGTGCATTAGGCGAGACAAGACGATTCGGGACACTAAGAGTTATGGTCAATCTCTATGTCAATTCGAGGACACATGATTATAAGTAGTCTAGAGCTAATCATAGATACTAGGGAGACGGTACAGTCTGGCGTACGGAGACACAATAGGGTGATACGAGGGTTTATACGTGAGTACGCGTGGGTGGCAGAAGAGCGCACATCTATGAAGATATCGAGAGTAGTATATAGATAGTTCGGGTGTGGATCTAGTAGGGATAGAGCTCTGGAGGAAGTAGTAGTAGGAGGAGTAGGATGAGTAGGAGGAGGAGTAGGAGGAGAGTAGGTTAGGAGTAGGAGGAAGGAGTAGGAGAAAGATAGAGTAGTGGGATGGTAGGCGTAGTAGATGTTATTAGGGGTAAGGAGTAGGATAGGAGTAGAGGGGAAAGATTAGGAGGGGGGTAGTATTAGTATAGTAGTAGTAGTAGTAGGAGGAATGAGGTTTATTAGGAGGTGTAGTAGGAGGTTTATTAGGAGTGTAGTAGGAGGTATAGTTAGGAGGGGTGTATTATGAGGTTTAGTAGGAGGTTTATAGGAGTGTATAGGAGGTTTAGTAGAGTTTAGTAGGGAGGTTTATGTAGGAGGTTATTAGAGTGTTTAGTAGGAGGTTTAGTAGGAGGTTTAGTAGGAGGTGTAGTAAGAGAGGTTTATTAGGAGGTTTAGTAGGATTATAGGGAGGTTTTATAGGAGGTTAGTATGTGGTATATTATGGAGGTTTTAGTAGGAGGTTTAGTAGGAGGTGTTATTGGATGTTTATAGGGAGGTGTAGTAGGAGGTTTATTAGGATTTGTATAGGAGTTTTAGTAGGAGTGTAGTAGGAGGTGTATAGGAGGTGTAGCAGGAGGTTTAGTAGGAGTTTATTAGGAGGTGTTAGTAGGAGTTTAGTAGGAGGTGTATATAGGTTTAAGTAGAGGTGTAGTAGGAGGTGTAGTAGGAGGTGTAGTTAGGAGGTTAGTAGGAGGTGTAGAAGGATGTTTAGTAGGAGTGTAGTAGGAGGTTTAGTTGGGGGGGGGGGGGGGGGGGAGGAGGTGTAGTAGGAGTTTATAGGAGGTAAGTAGGAAGGTTTACTCTAGGCGTGATAAGAAGCTAAATAACTGAGTGTTCTCAGTTCAGCGTAGGGTAGAGTAACCGTTGCGGATGCGATGATCAGTAAAGGAGTAGTCAGACATTAGTAGGCAGACAGGAGATATAAAGTTAGGAGGTCGTGTATCACTCATAGTGCTGTTACGGGAGGACGGCATCGTGTGAGTGAAGTATCACTATACGAGGGATTTATAGCAGGTTTACTTAGGGAGTAATTCACGTGACGTGGGCATATGGAGCTGATATTACTGTCACTGGATATATGACAGAGAATCTAGTGTGATGTGGCGGTAGGCAGTGGAAACACGGTAGTGGTGTATATTATTAGGCTGAAGATAGTAGTGTGAGAGTGAGTGAGATGATCTCGATATAGTCAGGTATAGGTATATTTTCTAGTGTTCGGTAGGGTTAGTATGTCTATTTCATAGTAGTATAGTGAGTTATATGAGGTTTAGTAGGAGTTTTCATCAATAGTGCCAGAGTTAAGTACTAGCAGACATTTTAGGATGAGTAGAAGCATGTAGACTGAGTTCACGTAGTGTATAAGTTATGAGGGTAGATGTAGACGTGGAGGAGGGAGAGGTTTAAGGATCAGAGATGAATGAGAATCTATGTCTGTAAGATGATTAGTGTAGTCATGGGACGTGGGGTGGAGTTAGAATGCCGTTGTATCTGAGATAGAGGTGTCTAGGTATATGATGTTTCAGGAATAGTATGCAAGCAAGGATAGTAGGAGGTATCTTAGGTAATCATGTCTAGCACATGCGTTACATGAGTGTTTTAGTATAGGACTTGGTTGTGACTGTCTACGGACAGTTGATTTAGATAGTTAAGGTACATAGTGGTGATTATCCAGATAACGAGGAATTATATAGAAGAGTATACTGTGACAGTGAGAGAGCGAACGCGTATGTGACAGGTCTAGGCGGAGTATAGGATAATACGAGAGGAACAGCTCTGGTGAGGAGCGTAAGACGTGGAGGATAAGGATAGGGACAGTGTGGTCTCAGGGAAGGGATGTATTTTAGTGACTACGACAAAGTGGATGTTAGTGTAGGTGATCATGTATCTGACGGTGACAGGAGGTGAAGAGCGGCTTAGGTCGTCACAGTAAGTAGCAGATTAACAGTGTGCAGTGTATAAACTTAGTACTAGAGTGATACTCAGACTCACAGTCGGGACTTTATTCTGGAGTGAGTATGTCAGTACAGTATCAATGTTAAGTTCAGTCGGCGTGTAGGATAGTAGTCATAACACGCGAGGTATGTAGATAAGGCACTGTATACATGTAGGCGCAGGAAGCAAGGGGAGAGAATGATGAAGTGATAGGATATACAGGTAGTGGTTGTGTAGTAGTGCGGATGAAGCTAGATTACGGAAGTTTGGAGGACTACATAGTAGGAGGATTGAGTTATGACGTGCGTTGAGCGACTACAGAGATAGTCACGAGGGTGGATATAGAGATGGAATATACAAGATGAGGGTAAGGGATAGTAGTAGATGATTAGATGAGAGACTGCGTGTGCACGACGTGTAGTAGGAGGTGTAGTAGACAGAAGAGTACGTAGAGGTGTGGACACATCAAGACTGAGTACGAGAGTGTGACACTAGGGGAGGTTGACTAATCTTATTAAGAAGTGTTTTCTGACATATCTAGTGAGAGTTGAGTTGTAGCATGGATCAATGTGTGGATGCGATCGAAGATATATAAAGGACAGGTTACACAGTATGAGGCGGTATCGTACATAAGGTGGCAGATTGTGAGTAGGCTGGTGCTTAGAGGAGAAGATATTCTAGTAGTGAGAACATGGAGTCTCGTCTCTATAGTTGAGCGAGTAGTTAGTAGAGAGAGATATACACAAATGAGGTGTGGAGAGTACGGTACGATCTGAAGAGTTGTTTAGGTAGGACGTCGGACTTCAAGATGACGGTGTCGGGGAACTGATGTGGATATTGAGTACACTAGATAGTGCAGAAGGGCGTGCATAGTAGGGCGGATCTGTGTAGTAGAGGATAGTACACAGATTGATAGTGAGGCAGATAGGAGTCAGCATAGGAGGGGTATGCGAGAGAAGCGCTGTGAGATCGAGCTCGGTGTGGGCTGAGGTATACTTAGGATGTTAGTACAATAGTAGAATTTATCTGAAGAGAGTATAGGACGCGAGGTTGTATCACATATGCGTACTTAGGGTACACACAGAGAAGGGATGGTTAGTAGCGTCATAGATCTGAGAGTTTATAGAGGGTGTAGTAAATGCACTGATAAACAAGTGACACATACGTGTTCTATATACAGAATGGGAGATACACAGGGTGATGAGAGTTATCTCTTAGTAGAGGGGGCGTTTAGTGCGTGACATAGTCTGGATATCATACGACTACAGAAGGTTAGACACTCTATAGTAAGATGGCATGTAGTACAAATTGATGCGTGAGTTCACTGTAGCGTGCACTAGTATGAGTAGTGCGATACGATGGTACATAGATAGAGGTGTAGAGAGGAAGTTTAGTAGGTAGCGTATCAATTTAGTAGAAGAGTCTGATCTAGTCTGAGCACATGATTTAGAAGTAACGTATTGTGTTAGTGCTCACGCGAGGCGATTTAATACATGATAGGTCTTACTACGCCAGGATGAGTAGTTAAGCGACTTAGCGTAGTGTGATGATAGCGCGTGGTACGGGTCTGTACGTGGAGAGGTCTCATAGGTCTATGGATGAGGGGTAGATAGGTGCGGATAGAGT